TGCATAATCCAATGAATGCTGTTTTCCCTCATGATTTAATATGATTCAGTTTTAATTTAAAAGAAGGGAAAACTCATATTAATTTCCAGCACTTTGCAGCTTTTAAAGCAATAAAAGATTGCCACCTGTTGGCATAGATTGAAATAGCAGTTAATCATTTTGTACTCTTGGAAAAAAAAGGGCAATTTTCAGTCTTGTTGAGCGTTAATGTACTTTTGGCAGTAAATGAGTGTGACCTTCAAACGAACATTCACCACCATTTCTGTTTATGAAATAACAACATAGGCATTTGCGACATCCAATAATAAAACAGTTGAAATTATACTAATTTAACATATTAACAAATGGAACCGAGCCATTTGAATTATGATAATAAGTGGAGCTTTTAAGGCTCAGGAAGGAAAGTAGAGGAAAATAGCCCAAGTCAAACTTTATAATAGTATATGAGTCAAAGACCACTGTTGTTTTCTGATGAAAAATTCATGATCTTCTCTGAGGAGTAACGGTAAGTCCTTGATTAAAGACCAGTGTTTTATATAACCTAATCATTTGTAAATAGTTTGCTTACTTCATACAAACCTCGCCACTCTTAGATTTGTTTGTCTTCACCTAAGTCCCAATCGAATAATCTACTGAAACCTCCTGAGAAAGAATGCAATCAGCAGTGGATGATAATTGATACATGCCATTTCGTTATAAACCGGTGATTCAATTAAGTAGTTCTGTTAATATCATGAACTTGAAGAGCAAAGATAAGTAGTTTAAGAATGTCACTGGAATCCTCCGGATTGAATTAGTTAAGAGTCATAAACTCAGTGCCAGATACCTTTTCTTCTTATCATATAGATCCGTAACTTCTAAAAAATGTAATATATATTTTGAGGTTTCATTTTATTATTTAGTGTGAATTGAAACGGAAGCAGTATAACATAGGTAAAAAGATAGTAAAGATTACTTCTTGTTTAGTCAGCTGAGTGTCTGACACAAGTGGAAACAGAGTTTTATGCATCCCACCTATACATGGAAATTCCAGAGATAATTATTGGGATGGTGTGCCCACTCTGTCCCTGGAGGGATGCATTCTGCTTACCTAATTCTGGACAGTATTAGGCATAGCATAATAAAAGCCAAGGCTTGGAGACGGCAGAGTGTGCATTGGAGTAACTGTTGGAGTTTAAAGTTTATAAATTTCAGTAACGTAGGACCTGAAAATATGTGGCATACTTCCAATTCCTTTGTCACAGTATAAACGGGTTTGCCCAACAGTAGATTATTTGGACAAAATGCCTAGTATGTTAGAATTGGAGGTGCCATTCCATTGACTCATATAAAATAAAGTCTTTTATTTTGCTGCTGTTTGTTTAAAGGGTTACACCAATCTATGAATTCCCATCCAATTTGTACACATCGAAAGGATGAAAACAAGAATGAATAAATATTTCACCTCATCACCAATGTATAGCACTTTGTGCAGTGTGTACAGTAACCAAAACTTCCAAAACTCACTATCTTTAAGATGGATTAAAATACGGTTACCCTAAAATGAGTGAAATCTGAGGCAAGTAAATTCCGGGGACAATGTATTTGCAGGGAAGAGATTGAGGTTTGATGATTCAAACACTCCATTGCGACATTCTGTGTGGTAAGGGTGTGCCATCTGAAGCAAATTGGAGTGTTGAATCACCAGTAAAACAGGATAAGATAAAGCAGATCATGTGGATGAAGGGACGGAACCCTGAAAAATGCTGAATCAAGGATAAGCCTTCTACTGCATCAACATCATAATAATAATAATAATCCTTGCATTTAATATAGCGCTTTTCACGTCCGGAGGACGTCCCAAAGCGCTTCACAGAACACACTGTAAAGTGAGTTGACTGTATATTTGTGGGCGAACGCGGCAGCCAATTGCGCACAGCAATGTCCCACAAACAGTCGTAGATTGAAAATGACCAATTTATTATTGTTTTTTTTGGGAGGGATTATTATTAGGCTCTGTGTGGAGTAAGGAAACTTGCCCAAGGTTTACGCCCTCTGTCTGGAATTGAACTCAGGTCTCTCGCTTGCAAAGCGAGTGCTCTAACCACTGAGCTACAGGACTCCACTTTGGATCATGGAGTGATCCAAAGAAAATTACTAAACTTGCTCGATGTAATTATATTTTTAATACAATTATTACGTTTGGAAAAGGATAGGAGTATTTTGAGTAAGTGTAAGATACAGTTCTAGTTCATTAGCAGCAGAAACCAAGGCTGCCTGTGCTGCACTCTTCTGGCAGAATTCAAGACAGCTGGCAGGTTCAAAAACAAAAACCTCTCACTGTAGCCAACAACTTACATTTGTGCAATGCCCCTCAAGCAGGATAGCGTCCCGGAGCGCTTGACAGTGGCGCGTGATGCTGAAGATGGAGAAGAAGGGGCAAGGGCGTAGGGATTGAGTAGCGGATGTTACAGAGTTTCGGCCAGCCTTTCATTCTTACTGTAGCTACAAGAACTGTGGCGGAAGGGTTCCCCCAAAATGTAAAGGACACCTGTGCGGGTGTGGTAATCGAGAACTCATTAGGAGGAAAAGGAACCTATGCAACATCAGCCCAGCTTCTTCTAAACGTAACCTCAACCCCAGGTGTCCAACGTGTCTGCAGGCTGGCAGATCATGTCACTCAGATAGTTTGTGGAGTCCTGTAGCTCAGTGGTTAGAGCACTCGCTTTGCCAGTGAGAGACCTGAGTTCAATTCCAGGCAGAGGGCGAAACCTTGGGCAAGTTTCCTTACTCCACACAGAGCCTAATAATAATCCCTCCAAAACCAAAAACAATAATAAATTGGTCATTTTCAATCTACGACTGTTTGTGGGACATTGCTGTGCGCAATTGGCTGCCGCGTTCGCCCACAAATATACAGTCAATTCACTTTACAGTGTGTTCTGTGAAGCGCTTTGGGACGTCCTCCTGATGTGAAAAGCGTTATATCAAATGCAAGGATTATTATTATTATTATTGACAGGTGCACTGCGCCAGTTTTGTAGGCACCATGTGAGAACACGTGTGACCAACAAAGCTTTTGATTTTGTCTACAAATGCACAGACACCCCACTTAACAGCAATGATCTAAGAAGCATGTTGACACGCTCTTATATTTACAAGCACTATTATCAACACTATCTTAAAATCTGACCTGCAATTTAAAACTCTTACACGCAACCTTAATTTGGAAGCAGGTTTTCCTTCACTTACTTAACAAAAGAACCAAATAAAGACAAAATGTAAGTGGTTTAAATGCAGGAGACATTTTAAAATAATACCAATCCACCTGGACTATGGCAGACCACAATAGAATAGAATAATACTGTATATAATAGAATATTCACTTCCGAGTTGAGTCAGCGCTTCAGTTTAACACAGTACTAGAAGGAAGGCAATGCTGGAGCGATACTCCTGGAGTGTCAGCCTGGTTTGGGAAACTCAAAAGAGTTGGCAAAGGGAATTGGGGTGTGTGGGTGGAATAAGAGATTGAGCAGAATATGCCCCTCCTGATGGTAAAGAGTGGGCAGCTCAACAACAACAACAACAACAAGATTCCATTTATTGAGCGCCTTTCACGTCAGGAGGACGTCCCAAGGCGCTGACAAGTTCCTGGCTAACAGAGATTGGTAGTTGTTTGCTTTGAATATTCTTAAGCACCTACGATCACCTCCCTTCCCCTTGCGTCCGGCCCTGCCCCTGCCAAATGGCCGAGAGGTTATCCTACGTGAGGGGCGCTGTGTAAATGATAGGTGTTGTTGAAAGCGACATGACGGGTTTCCATATATGTGTCAGACACGGGGGGCTGACCAAAAAAGGTGGACGAAAGCAATGTCTGGGGGGAGACGAAAAAAATGTGGTGGCGGCGGGAGGAAAGAAAGCGGAGCGGTGGGTGGGTGGGGGGAAAAGAGAGCGGGGGGCGGGGGGAAGAAAGCAGTGGATGGGTGGGTGGGTGGGTTGGGGGGAAGAAAGTGGTGGATGGGTGGGGGGGGTGAAGAAAGCGGTGGGTGGGTGGGTGGGGGCGAAGAAAGTGGATGGGTGGGGGGGAAGAAAGCGGTGGGTGGGTGGGGGCGAAGAAAGTGGATGGGTGGGGGGGGAAGAAAGCGGTGGGTGGGTGGATGGGTAGGGGGGAAGAAAGCGGTGGGTGGGTGGGTGGGTTGGGTGCGGGGTAAGAAAGCGGTGGGTGGGTGGGTGGGTTGGGTGCGGGGTAAGAAAGCGGTGGCTGGCGGGAGAACGCGGTGTGGCGGTGGGCGGGAGGAAAGAAAGGGGCGCGCGCCCCCTTTGCTGGGCGCGGGCGGGCGGGCGGGTGGTCAACGAAGTGAGGTTCGGTGATGGGGGGGGGGGTGAGAGAGAGAGAGAGAGAGAGAGAGAGAGAAAGAAGGGACTTGAACCTATGAGCTCGTGAGCCGGAGGCGTTGAGCCCTGCCCTGCCCTGCCCTGCCATTATAGTGTTGGTGTTGGCTTGAGCTGAGCCAAGCCCAGGGTGGGTGGGTTTGAGGGGGGGGCAGGAAGGGGGCGGGGCGAGTGAGAGAGAGGGGGCGTGGCGAGAGAGTGAGGGGGCGGGGCGAGAGCGACCGAGGGGCGGGGCGTGGGGCTTGCGTCGGTCGTCATCACGCCCTGACGTCACCGCGCCTGGTCCCGGCATGCGCCACTCGCTCGCTCTGGGTGCCGGAGACCGGAGCTGGAGATCCGCAGCCGCGGGGGAGTCGGGAGCGGAAGAGAAGGACAGACGGGACGAAAGGAAAGTGGTAGAGAGAGCGAGAGAGAGAGAAAGAGAGAATAGATAGATAGAGAGAGAGAGAGAGAGTGGTGTGAAAGGAGGGGAAAAAAAAGAGAAGGAGAAAGAGAGAGAGAGAGAAAAAAAAAGCGAGGGTTTGTTTGTCGGGGGCGGCGCTGCCCCTTCCTCTCCCCTCCCTCCCTCCCTCCCTCCCTCCCCCCTGCCCTGTGCCCCCCGCTCTCGCCCCCCCCCCCCTCCCCCTGTGTTAAGCTCTCAGTGCAGTGTCAGAGGCGCACCTTCCGAAGAGGCGAATGCGATGTTGGTGGGAAGGTAATGAGCCAAAGAGCCCTGAGCACTCGGTTGAACAAGCGGCAGCGCTGGAATGACTGGGACCCCAGGTGAGTGGGTGAGGGGGGGTGAGGGTGAGGGAGGGTGAGTGGGTGAGGGTGAGGGAGGGTGAGTGGGTGAGGGTGAGGGGGGTGAGTGAGTGGGTGAGGGGGGGTGAGTGAGTGGGTGAGTGAGGGTGAGGGGGTGAGTGAGGGTGAGGGGGTGAGTGAGGGTGAGGGGGTGAGTGGGGGTGAGGGGTGAGGGGGGAGTGAGGGAGTGTGGAGGAGGGAGTGGTGGAGGAGGGTGAGGGGGGAGGGGGGTGGTGGAGGAGGAGGAGGTGGAGGGGGTGTGTGGAGGAGGAGGAGGGGGGAGGGAGGGGTGTGTGGAGGAGGAGGAGGGAGGGGAGGGAGGGGTGTGTGGAGGAGGAGGAGGAGGAGGAGGGAGGGGGTGTGTGGAGGAGGAGGAGGGAGGGAGGAGGGAGGGGGTGTGTGGAGGAGGAGGAGGAGGGAGGGAGGGAGGGGGTGTGTGGAGGGAGGGAGGGAGTGTGTGGAGGGAGGGAGGGAGTGTGTGGAGGGAGGGAGGGAGGGAGTGTGTGGGGAGGGAGGAGGGAGGGAGTGTGTGGAGGAGGAGGGAGGGAGTGTGTGGAGGAGGAGGGAGGGAGTGTGTGGAGGAGGGAGGAGGGAGTGTGTGGAGGAGGAGGAGTGGAGGGAGGGGGTGTGAGGGAGGAGGGAGGGGGTGTGTGGAGGAGGAGGGAGGAGGGAGGGAGTGTGTGGAGGAGGGAGGAGGGAGGGAGTGTGTGGAGGGAGGAGGGAGGGAGGGGGTGTGAGGGAGGGAGGGAGGGAAGCGCGGCCTAGCGCTGAGCTGACGGGTGGTGCGCTGAAGGGGAAGCCCTGCCCGGTTCCCCCGTCCGCGGCCTTCCTCCCTCCCTCCCTCCCTCCTCCCTCAGCGAGAGGCCTCGCTCCCCCCGCCCGCCCGCGCCTGTCGGGTCCGCCCTCTTACCTCCTTCCCTTCACCGCCACCTGTGAGGAGGAGAGGAGGAGAGAGAGTGAGAGAGGCTGCGGCCTCCTCTCAGCGGCCTCCGGGCTGAGGGGGGGTGGCGGGGGGTTATTACGCGGGAACGAGGCGGCGGCCGCCCAGGGGGAAGGGGGAGGGCGGGGTGGGTCGGTGTGTGGTGGGTGTGTGTGTGTGTGTGTGCGCGCGCGCGCGGCATCGCCTTTTACTCGAGTCCCAGGCTGTGCGCGCGGCCTAGTGCTCTGGCGGGACACAGCCGCCTCTTCCCTCTTCCCTTCAGCCCCTTTCCTCGCCCCTCTCAACCAGCGGCGACCGCTACTGCAGGGCGACCGAGGACAGCCGCGGTGCCATTGCAGCGTCTCAATAAGGCTCTCTCTCTCTCTATATATATATATAATAATAATAAAGTAGATATCACGACTTTTATGGTCTCCCTGTGCTCCTGCTCTCCCTTTCCCTCCCTCCTCCTCCCCTGACTCCTGTCTCTCTCTCTCTCTCTCTCACACACACACACGCGGCTGCTCTCTGCTGCTGTGTGTTGACTTGACAGGTTCAGACACTTCGCCTTCTTCTCTTCTCTCCTGTTGTCACCCAACCCCCTCCCTCCCCCCCTCACCAACCCCCTCCCCCCCCCCCCCCCCCACCAACTCCCTCCCCCCCCCACCACCCCCCCCCCCCCCACACACACACAGAGGTAATGATTTAAGTCTTAAAACTAGATGACAGCTCTTGCCAATCAGCCCCCCCCCCCCCCCAAAAAAAAGGTGTGGGTGGGGAAGGTGTAGCAGAGGCTCTGTATCTTATCTCCACCCCCCCCACACACCCCCCCCCACACACACACCCACACACACCCCCTCCCAGCTCTTGACAAACACCTCCTCCCGTTGGTGAAGAAGGGCAATGGATTGGGGGAGAGACTTGCTCCGTCTCTGTTGTCTTCTCCAACACCCCCCCCCCCGCGGTATTTTGCATTAAAATTCCTGCTGCACCACTTTCTGTAGTGAGAGGTGTGTGCGTGTGCGTGTGTGTGTGTTCGGGAGTTTCAACAAGATAGCGAGCCGGTGATCTGGAGAATCTTTCAAACGTGTTCAGTGTAATTGTCATGTTCAGAATATCCGATCCTTGCTTTCGTTTTAGTCAGCTTCACCTGCCCAGAATTATACTGCACCTGTTTTGCGTTCTGAATATCGAAACCCACGATTACGTGGTAAATACCGGGGGGGGGGTTTCCATGAAAATTCCTGTGTAGGAATAATTCAATTAGGCGTCTGTACACATGAGACTTCGATCGTGTGCACTATGTTGTTACGGTTTGTTTTGAGTTGTGTACAATAAGCGCAGTGTCTGGCTGGAGCAGCAGTGCTCAACGAAGTTGCTGAAGACGGCGGTAAATGTTTGGAAATATTCTTAATTGGGTTGACACCGTCACACTTTCATTTAGGAAAGCTTTAAAGAAATACAGTATATTCTGTGAAGCGCTTTGGGACGTCCTCCCGACGTGAAAAGCGCTATATCAAATGCAAGGATTATTATTATTATAAAACATAATCTATACAAGCATTAGATTGAATATTTAGTTCGGCACACCCTGAAATGTTACTTCAAATCCCACTAGGCAAAATATAAATTGTGTTAGTTGGGGCTTTTTTCAGTTAGATATATTTTTAGTTGTATGTGGCACATCTGCCAAGCGGTGCAGCAGAGGCAACAATTATTAGGCAAGTTCAAAATGGACTCATATTGGGTAAAATATGGAATGATCTGCGATGTGACAAATAGCTTTTTCTCATTGTTGACTATTTGTGTTTTAAATCAACTCGGAGAAAACTGCAAGATCAGTTAAGTTGTGTTTCGAAACATGTTGAACATCCCATGTAGATGCTCTTGTATGAAAGACATTTAAACAGAAATGCACAAACTATCTTGCTGGTAACATTTGAATGTGTTTTAAAACACGTTCATGTAAGACGTAAGCATTTTGGTACCACCATGTTAGGGTTGATTCCCTTTTGCTGTCAGTTCTAACTAAATTATATTTCTGCTTTTTTTTCCTCTTCCTTTTCTCCTGACCGCATTGATTCTGTGGTACAGTACCTTGCCCAAATGATCATTTTTCATGCGTGAGCCTTGACAGTGAGTGTTAGCAGGCTATTTGACTGTTGAGGTTATTGGAGTTGAGCCCGATCTGATGTCCATACGCTTCTTCCAGCAGGTGTCTTTGAGAGAGTGATCAGGGTTGGGAACCTTGCTGAGATCAGGCTATGTCAGCGTAAATTGATTTGACCCTGCAACCTTATGATCTATAAAACTCAGTCGTGTATCAGGCAATCCATACAGTGATCGATAGGGCCATCGGTGGAGTAACTGTTTTTAGAAATATACAAATTTTTGAAGTTTTGTAAAATGCAGAGCTTGCCCATGATAGAGATTGTCATTATTTTAGAAAGATTGACAGTATATTGTTGGAAGAAGGAGAATCTTGATTTGATTGCAGCCGTAGCTGATTGAATTTTAAAAACTGCTTGTATTTTGGGTGGATTTGATCCAGTTTCTTAAGATGTGTACTATAATTCTCATCAACTAAGATGCTTTGTTGAAAGAATGGCTCATAAAACCGATGGAAACTGGATTCCTCTGGTAAATACGATTACTTGAGCTGTTACTGTTGCATAAAATATTTTGGAGAATGATATTTTTGTTTAAAATCATCGTTGAAACTCTAGGATGATTTGCATTGACTGAAATATTGCATGCAAATTTGAGGAGGGATAAGTGCACACAAAATCTCATGTTCTGTAAAATCGGAGCTGAGGTCCTGACTCATATAGAGGACTTTTTTTCCTCCCCTCTCGTGCACCCTTTCTTCACATGTTGAAAAATAATTGCCTACTGTTTTTTTAACAGACCTTGATTTGATCACAAGTTTGTGTGCTTAAAGATTTGAGCTGTCGCCATAGTATACTTGTCACCAGTCTATAGTCTGATACCTCATCTATGATGTGGTCCAATATTTATTTCCTGGCGACAACCAAAAAAAAAATTTGTGTAATTTGAACTTAATTTGAACTTCTCAAAAAAATAGTTCCTGATTTTGATAATGAAAACGCAAATCATTGTTGCATTTTCATTTTGTATAGATTTTTATTTCTGAATTCCCTCCAATCCCTGTGAAGCACTTCTCTATGTTAACGGTACTATATTCAGCAAGTGCAAGTTGTTGCAAAGGCTCTACAGCAGTTCTTGTTCCAATGAGATGTGGGTGGCCTTAAAAGGATGCCTTGTAGAGATGTCCCCATTTCAATAATTTTGCACTTGCAATACCCAAAGATTTTGCTATGTTTCCACTGACCTGATACTGAAACTTGTGATGACAATAAGTCAATAAGTCCACAACTCCAATTTTGTCACTTGGATTGTCACTTTGTCGGCTATTCTTTTCTTGCCTCCTGTGATGGAATGATTTATAACTTCAGTGATTTATATAGTTGTCAGCCAAGTTAACCATTATTAAGAGATCAAATATTAGTGGCCATTTGGTTTTCTTTATTACAATGTTAGGTTGTCCTTTTCTATATAGTCCTGTATCTTACTAATTCGAGCACTTGCCTTGCAAGCAAGAGGACCTGGGTTCGATTCCCGGGCAGGGCGAAACATTGGGCATGTTTCCTTACTCCACACACCTCTGTTTACCTAGGAGTAAGTTGATTACCCAGTTGTTAGTCGATTGGTGGATCGCTTTTCCGGGAATAATGATCTCTTCTAAATAAATAAATAATAATTTGGTCACTTAATCCACGACTGTTTGTGGGGCACTGCTGTGTGCAATTGGCTGCTGCTTTTCGCCCACAAATAACAAGTACCGTCACTTCACTTCATAGTATATTCGGTGAAGTGCTTGGAGACGCCTAGAAGACATGATAAGCCGCTATATCAAATGCAAGGATTATTATTATATATAAATCAACTAATGGTGGTTTAATACTATTTCATTCATTTGCTTAGGCCTTCAGATAAACATTCAGCTATGATTAATGATCAGTTATAAATAGTGAAAGGAACATTTAATTGGGAAAATAATTGGATTGCATTATATTTCAAATTGTGATTTGTTGGCAGAGAGTGTCCAACAGCAGTGTTTGATTTTTAACTTGGTGCACACTTCAAAACAGAACTGTCAATTATTTTTACTTTCAAGGCTGGAAAACTGGAATATCAAACCTTCATCTGAAGTAACATTTTGTTGAGCGTAGCACCAGTACTGTATGTCTTGACATGGGATCATAGCACCGAATGACAATTTTCTTTGGGCTAATTAAATATATAAAAAATCTCAAACCATCAAATGTACTTTCTGACTGTCAAATGTGCTTGCAACTTCTACCATGTTGTGGAATTTGCTTCACCTATCTAATCTCATCAAGGAAAAGATCTATATAAATAATCGCTGATGATTCAACCAACCCTAGGTTCATTTTGGATCCTGAAGTATTTTATCATTGGAGTTTAGTACCTAACCAAACAAAGTAATACTACAAGCAAAACTAATTATTGTAACTGCTTGGTTACTTTTACTGCTCTGTGGGCAGGGATCTGAATTTTGGAGTGTCTTGAAGTTAAATTTGCAAATCACGCAAGTAATGATCTTGGTGATGTGTTTGAACTCCTCAGTCAGGAGCAAGCATGCCAATTGATTCAACAGAAAACCTGACCAGTCCTGTCAGTTACTGCAGCTATATTCAGTAATATGTAATTGAATAAGTCACGACTATCAGACCAGCCCATCATTAAACTTTCACTTGATGTTTTTCCTAGGTATTTTTTAATGTCTGTTTCAAAACTGATTGTTATTTTTGAAAATGTCATGGTTGTGACGACTTGATCCTATTTTTGTCATGGTTTCCCTCCACTCAAAGGTACTGCCTTGCTGGGGTATAAGTATTTCTGGGTACTGGGTTCTATAGATACCGTCTGCAATTCAGTTTCTTAGCCCAAGCGGCTAACGCTTATTTGTGTGAGCAAGCTACTCATTGATCAACAGCTACATTGCATCTAGTTTTTATTTAATATCCATGAATGCCCTAACAGGTCACACTGACAACGATTGGGAGTGAGATTTTTTCGATTTCCCTATCTAGCTCAGGGGATATAAATTTTCATTTGAATTGGAGGTAGAAAGGGGAAATTTGGAAAGTGGGGAAGGACGTTTCCATTCACGAATTGCTGCCTGTGTGTCCTTGAATGAACTGAACCGCCTGTTTTTCTACAAGTGGAGTTCATGAGATTCCCCCAACGTATAATTTTTTTTTGTTGAATTAGTCAGCATTCTTCTGGCGTAATGCCTTTGAAAGTGGCTTTTATGATTTAAAATCAAACGCGGTCTTTGAAAGCGATAGCGCAATCACTCTTCTTTTTCGGAACGCCAAGATTGTGTGCGGACCATTGCCATTGTTTAGCTCATGGGTTTAGAACTGGGCTGAAAAGAATAGGTTTTCGTAGAACTTTAGTAGATCTGCTGGAAAGCCCCGAATCTTCGAGGCCGCGTAGATCCAAACCATTTCTGAATCGTTGGGGGGGACTCCATTGGTTGGGAAGGCAAAAAATTGGAATGGCACTGTATTTGTACGAAAGATCCCAAATTGGCCAGGGAGGTGATTTTGAGGGGTGGGGGGGAATGAAAAACGTCAATATGTTCTGAATGGAGTGAGTTGTCGAGAATGTACACTCACAGAATGCTTCCATTTCCATGGCAACTGTCTTAGACCTGTATTGTAAAGCATTCTGATACGGTGCTTCCAAAAAAGACTTGGAATATAGAGTGAGAAAGCTATTGAAGAGACGTGAAGGTTACGCGCGTCTTATAACCGAGGCTTTCCCGTTCCTTAAAGGAACGCAGGTATTCCAAAATGGCAGTGGTTGGGTTGGTTTTGTTATTGCAGTACTCTATATTCAATCGAGGTTCCTGGATACTTGTCGATGTACAAGGTAACAATTCAACCAAGTGTTTCAGTGAGCGTAAATCATAAGGTTATTTGAACTCCCGATTACTGTAATTTTGCGAGTCAGGACTTTTATGGTTGGAGGAGAAGTGATTTTTGGAATTGTTTTTAAAGAATTGGTGATTTTCTGATAAGAGCCTATCACTTGTGTTAGTTTGTTATAAAGCAAGCTCTTCCTTGTTGGAAGACGTCTAGTGATAACCGTACTTTAAGATTTTACAAATCTGGGTGTATTCCGAGGAATGTTTGTCCATCTGAGAAGCTTCGTAAATTTCTCTGTTTGCTACACTTGTAGAAGAGATCTGCTTTCTATAATAATATTCCCACAAGGGGATGCTGTTTGTTTGCTTCCTGGCATCAAGGTTATTGGTGTCAGGAACATATTCTCCTGAAGCCATTCTTTGTGGAAATATATTATGAGAGAAGTCAGCATCTATATCAAGAAAAGCACAAGAGGCACGGACCCAGTGTTTGGCTGGACTAACGAAACCTAACACTGCGGTGTTCAAGCTCAAAGACAAAAAGAAAATAACAATTGTCAGCAGCATGGCGCTGTTGGAATCTGTACCCAGAATTCTATTTTTATTCCTTGTCCACAACGATTAGAAAGGCTTGTGCCTTCTACAGGATATTTTTTACTATTTTTAAAAAAAAGGACATATCAATAGGCTTGTTGCGATTGGTGTGATGGCCGTTCGTTTTCAATCAAAAATGAGTCTGCCGGGACTCGTGAGTGAGTTCACATTGGCTTGTTCTTGTACGGTTGATGCCTAAACTTGAGCTGATAAACTGCTCCGTTTGGAAAGGAGAAAAGTTGGTAATGATAGGGGTGACCAACGATTACAATTCTCGTCTGAATTGGGGGTGAGTGGTTATTTCTGTTCAAATATTTTTTTACTCACCAATTTTCTCTCCACTTTTTGCTTGGAGATGTTTAACTCTTTATTTTCATTCCATAATTGTGACCAGCAGTACATTGGTTAACGTCGGTACGTCTGCCAGTTAATTGTAAAACAGTAGATTCACCTTTCAAAAGCTTATAAGCAGGTATATTACTGTGACAGAATAATAGGATGTGGGTTCATGCTCCTTTGTTATATATCTGGCACCCAGTCAAGGTGGGAAAGTTAAATTGGCACGTCTTAAGCTTGGAAACGGGTTCAATTTCGTGGTCCTTGGTTGCTTTGAGTAATTGTAAGTCGATAGACAGAAATTTGGCCCTTTTGGTATTTGTCAATTTGCAGAGGTATTTTAACGTTTTGTGTGGCTCTGTGAATGAGTTGTGTACGGAATGAGAAATGTGCTTTTTCACTATTGCAGATGCAAAACACCTGAGACTCTTTGAAAGCACCTTTAACTGGTTCCAAATTGAAATTGGCTAAATTCTAAGATCTAGAATTTGAATTCTCTTTCAAATGGGGAATTTTGCAGAGGAAGTTTCAATGAGGAACAGACTTCTTCTGATTACATTTTTGACCTCATCTATTAAGTGCTTTTAAATTCTGTGATGTTTCATTTTATAGGATTGACAGTACATCAGCTGATCAAGACAATTTAAAGTATCCTTTGACCAGGGATCGGGGCAATCCTGCCTCTTACGGATTACATCCAACCAGTTCCGCCGGTGTGTCTCGGCATAGACACGATGATATCCGAATCCTTACTGGATTTCAAAATGATGAGGGGGGTAAGAAACTTTAACCTCTTAATTAATTTCAGCTCACAGCAAACATTATGAGTGGGATTGTCCCAGTTTTCTTTTGGTACCTGTTGAGCAAGTGCCTTGTGCATTGAATACTTTATGGGTTACATTATCTGATACTACTTTATTATATAGTGCTGCAAATGGATTTCTTGCAATGTCTCAGCAGGACATTGGGGAAACTGCATTCAGTCTCCTTGAAAGGCACTCCACTCCAGTGTTGGTATATGTATTTTACATGTTACAACACATTAAAGGCACTACAATTGTCCTCTTTAGGCTTAGGAGAGAGAAAACGATCTTTGGTTCTTGCTTCTGATCCCTATGCAGATCCCTGCAGCATTGCCAGTTTGATTCAAGTTGGCAATTTGAATACGGTCTGTCTGTTAACACAGAGTTAAATCCATAAGCATTGCTTGCTCCTCCTTTTTGATCTGAAGGAAACTTTATTAACTTGTGAGTTAAATTCATTACAGTTTGATCAAATGGCAAATACATTTGTGTATTGTCGTTCACAGGCAGATATGATGTCAATGGAGGACTTGGGGAAAATGCTTATGGTAGGAAGTCGCTGGGGCAAGAGCTGAGGGTTAACAATGTGACCTTGGATGTAAGCAGCGTTCAGCATGGGAACCGTGCTTTAGCCACAAAGGAGATGAGGAAATCACAGGGTAAGTGAATAGAGTACCTTCTACTTTACCTGTTTTAAATCATTGCTTGATGAGGTGAGGCATTAAAATGCCTTGGATGATTCAAAATGTTCTACTATTATTTAATTTCTACATTTGAGCAGAAATGCCTGTCCTTTGAGGACTTTGACGTGCATCATAGAGTCTCACCTTATTTTGTATATTGATGCTAATCTGTTTCTTATGCGTTGATCCAATTTCTCTGCCTTTCACCGCCACTATTAACCATTCTTAGTACTTTACCCTATTCAGGTCTAAAGAAACGCAACTAAGGTGTTATGGCAAAATGTTGCTTTATTTCAGATTTATTTAGTTTCATATAGACACATCTAACTTAGTATGCCCACATGAAAAATTCCTGTACCCTTTTATATTAATTTCTCTTTGAATTACTATATTAATAATCTTCAGTGTTTAATTCTAAAATACAATAGAATCCTGTTATACACAGCATCAACAGTGGATGGGTTGTAATGGAGCAAGATGACTGGTCATTGTTTATGTATTCACAATGCATGCCTACAGGAAGACTTGATTCAAAATACTGGTCTGCATTAAAACGCCATTAAAACAGCTCCCCCTTCAACGCAGTAAAAATTAGCGACTTGACAATCTGGGAGTTGGCATGCTTATTAGTGCTATCAATCGTGCTATCAACAAACCCAACAAACTATATTACAAGGAGCTATTGTTGTATTTGAGCGCCTTGGGACATTCTCTCAACAAGAAAGGGCGCTATATAAATGTAAACTTGTGCTGCGTTAATATGAAGTATCTGCCATCCTTGGTTTGTTTACAGAGCGATCTTTATCTTATTCTGATGAGTCTCGACTGTCCAATCTTCTGCGGAGGATTTCCCGTGAAGATGACAGAGAGCGTCGGCTGGCTACGATAAAGCAACTGAAAGAGTTTATTCAGCAGCCAGAAAACAAACTGGTAACTTATGTGTTCATAACGAAAACTAACTTAAAGTAAATTGAATGCAAAGTTTTTTTTAACACACTTGCTTATTGTGGTTGTGTGTTTTATTTCACCTCTTATTTGTATTCCAGGTACTAATTAAGCAGCTGGATAATATCCTGACTGCATTGCAGGATGTGCTTAATGAAAGGTACGTGTTACACACAGGAATAATTTGAAATTTACTGATAAGTAGAGTAAACTTTCATTTTTTTTTGACAATTTAATTTTCCTTAGATTAGGAATCAACTTTTTAAAAGAGAGCCCCAAGTATAACCAAGCAAATTATGAACCCTTGTTTCTATAAACGTCTTTTAAAAATAAATATTTTACAAAGTATTATAGATGAAAAATATTACATTATTAAATGCTGTTTAATATATAACAACAAGAAAATGACATTTGTACAGTGCCTTTCACATCAGGAGGATGTCCAAAGGTGTTGGACAGTCAGTGTTTTGAACCTGAGCTGGGAGTCGGGATTGGGGAGGATGGAGGACAGGGGGCGAAAACATGGTCGAAGAGGAGGGTCTTGAGGTGGATCTTGAAGGAGGCAAGGGAGGGGGAGAGGTGGAGGGACTGCGGGATGGAGTTCCAGGTGGTGGGGGCAGAGTGGCTGAAGGCAGGCGGGGGATGTGAAGCAGGCTGGAACCTGCTGAGCGGAGGGAGGGGCAGGATGGTATGGGGTTAGGAGGTCGCAGAGGTAGGGGGGGGGCAAGATCATGGAGGGTTTTGAAGGTGAGGACCAGGATCATGAACTGTATCCTCTGTGTGATGGGAAGCCAGTGGAATCGGGCGAGGATGGGGGTGATACGGTCACAGATCCTAGTGCGGCAGAGGGCACAGGCTGCAGAGCTCTGGATGATCTGCAGCATATGGAGGGAGGAGTTGGGGAGGCTGACAAGCAAGGAGTTTGCATAGTCAAATCTTGGTGTAATGAATGCATGTATGAGAGTTTCGGCGTTCTGCGTTGTGAGACAGTGGCGGAGCCGGGCGATGTTGCCGAGGTGGGGAAAGGCAGAGTAGTCCTTGGGAAGCATAATTAAAATAACTTGTATACTGTAATTTGTGCCATTGCAACATTATTAATCACTTGTTGAATCATTTGTATTCTGACTAGTTTGTGCTGTGATTCTATATTTTGGCATAGAATATAGAATCACAGCACAAACTAGTCAGAATACAAATGATTCAACAAGTGATTAATAATGTTGCAATGGCACAAATTAGACATTATACAAGTTATTTTAATTTAATTTGGGCATTTATCATTCAGGACAAGTTCTCAATGGGTAATGTGATTTCTGAGGCATGTATGCAATGTATGTTTCTTTTTTCTAACTTTTAAAAAAAAATTATATTAACAGTAGCAAACTACTTCACGATCTACGACAAGAAGGGGCTTGTTGCCTTGGCTTGATGTGTGTGTCTTTGAGTTACGAGGCAGAAAAGATCTTCAAGTGGATTTTTAGCAAGTTTAGCTCTTCCACTAAAGATGAGGTAAAACTTCTGTACTTGTGTGCCACCTACAAAGCACTGGAAACTGCGGGAGAGAAGAAGGCATTTTCAACTATAATGCAGGTTAGAATAACAGCTACCTTTTTACTTAGATTTACCATAAATTATTTCTCGTTTTTAAATTTTTTAAAAAAAATTACTTTGTCCTATTTTGTTTTCTGTTTAAATAGCAAGCTTGAAGTGTAGGGTCTAATATTTATGAAATGTACTTGCATTCCACAGTTATTTGGAAATTACAATTACCTTTTGGATTTGGGGAATTAGATACAATTGGTGGATTTGCATTTGCTGCTTTCTTTACAATAATTGGCTTCACTAAGAGATTTTGAAGTATACCATTGCAATCATTTTGATATAAAACCACTTCAGAACATCCAGAAATGTGGAAGGTTATGACTGACTGGCATAGCATTTTCTTTAAAAGTGAAGCTTTAAAAGTGAAGGGAATGGGAATATAAGTATAATACATTCCAAGCACTATCTGGAACGCTGGCTGCAATCCTTTTCAAGACATTATGAGCCTCTGACATGATTTTAAATCCCATTGGTTTGTTGAAATTCCTTTTTGTTGCAGTTTGATTTCCTTGTCTTAGTACAAGGTTGTTGTGTGTGTTTTTTATATAAACGTTCAGAGGAAAGTCATTTTAACTTGCTTGTGTTTTCTCTAGCTGGTGATGACCAGTCTGCAATCCATTTTGGAAAATGTGGACACTCCAGAGCTACTGTGCCAGTGTGTGAAATGCATTTTATTGGTGGCGCGTTGCTACCCCCATATCTTTAGTACCAACTTTAGGGTAAGAACATTGGGATGAGTTATATCATTTCTAGAGCTGAATTTGGCTCGGTGAAGTATTGATTTTATGTGTGCTTTGATTGCCACAGGATACTGTCGATATACTTGTTGGATGGCATATAGATCACACCCAAAAACATTCCCTTACACAGCAAGTCTCGGGTAAGTTTAATGTTGCGCAAAACTGGCTGTGAACCAAGCCTATTTTTTTAAATAGTAATATGTTTGATCTTTATCCAGACCGGCCCAGTTTAGTTGAAAATAAGTTAATGAAGAAGATCTTATCAAACAAAGTCATTCTGTTTATCATTGAGTTAAGGTATAAACATTAAAGACATTGAATATTGAAACATTCTAAATCATGCAATCCAGTACTCCAACAATTTGCAATAATATAGCGCCCTTCACTTAGGTTAGCGTCTCTGAGTGCTTAATGAAGATCAAAGTCTTTAGGCATGATCTGAAAATGGAGAAGGAGGGCGCAAGGGATTGAGAGAGAGAGTGTTCCAAAGTTTCGGGATGCAGTGGCTGAAAGCACAGCTGCTGATGGTGGAGCAGAGGGGACGAGGGACAAGTAGCAGGAGAGCGGATGCAGTGGGGATGCCAGGGCATGAAGGGATTTTGTTGGCGAATGTGAGAAATCCAGTAAAGTGCATATATGAACTTTTTTAAAAAATGGCCAGGGAGGTTTAAATATTAAAGCTTACTAAATAAATATTTTAAAATGTATTTCATAGGTTGGCTACAGTGTTTGGAACAGTTCTGGGTTGCAGACCTTGGATTTTCCACAACGCTTCTGGGGCAGTTTCTGGAAGATATGGAGGCTTATGCAGAGGTATGGCAAGAATAAGAGCATAAGTAATTGCTAGGCGAAAAAAGACCAAGGTCCATCCACTTTGCCTTCCATCCTGGCAGTATCTTGACATGATATAGTTTTCGGCTATTCAGAGACGAGCATAAAAATGTCGTATCCATTAAACACAGGCAGAGCAGCACCTAGCAGCACAGTAAATGCTTAGTACTTTCTATATGTATTTTTTTCCCCAGCCAGCCTGGGAAAACTGCACAAGAGATTTTAAATGGAACTCAGTAGATAACATAACCTGATTTCATGTTCATCTTTTAAATACCAGTTGGAGATAAGAACCAAGTGTCTTTTTTAAAAAAAAAACAGTCTGCACCATGTAACAGGAAAGTATTCAGTAGAATTAACTTGTGGACTTGATGTATCTCCTGAATTCTGAATGGATGTTTTTAATATATTTACAGGATCTTAGTCATGTGGCTTCTGGGGAATCTGTTGATGAGGATATTCCCCCTCCTTCAGTGTCTCTACCAAAATTAGCAGCCCTGTTAAGGGTGTTCAGTACTGTGGTGAGAAGTATTGGGGAACGTTTCAGCCCAATCAGAGGACCTCCAATCACTGAGGCCTATGTCACTGATGTAAGCACATGTTTTAAGATTCAGATTGTGCCAGAAATTAACATGTAAAATTTATATTCGGTGTTATTCAATTAGAAAGCTGTGATTTCAGAAAGCTTAACATGTTGAAGTGGTTTGAAAGCACCTCTCTTAAAGATTCAATGTCAGTATTAACTTTTGAAATGAGTAAATTTGAAATCTGTAGATTCGTATCGTATTTAGGATGGTAATAGGATAAAAGCTGCTTTTGTGGCATCACGCGAGAGTGTTTTAAGAATACCCAATGCTTCATCTTTGCAGGAGTAGAGTTGAGATGTAGAGAACAGTGAGATTATCTGACCTAGATTATTTTCCCTTAATTCAATCTAAAATCTAGATCTACATCAGTGTCCCAAGAATTGCAGGGGAGGGTGTCTTTGATTTTATTGTGTGATGATCTGTCATGTTTACCGAACTTGATTGTACTGACATTTTTAATATCTAGGTCCTTCTCAGAGTTGTGAATTGTGTGACCACAGCAAAGCAAGTTTTCTTTTCTGAGGCAGTATTGACGGCTGCAAATGAGTGTGTCTGTGTTCTGCTGGGCAGCATGGACTCTGATATAGCCAAACACTGTGATATGACCATTGCATATGGGTTGGACCAGATGGATGGTTGTCAGATGTTTGGTGCTGAATATATCATCTCAGTGTTAAATTTGCTGACCTTGGTGAGTAAGCTCTTGCATTTTTCTGCCACTTATGTGGTTAATGTACAAGTAATATTGATTAAAACCTATGCTGTTGGTTTATTAATTTTTAATTTGCATAGTTTATTAAATTTCTAACCATCTAATATTTCCTTGTGCAGTGTGAACTAATGTAGTCATTTGTTTTCCAGATAGTGGAACAAATAAATACAAAATTGCCAGCAACATTCGTAGAAAGGTTGTTTTCACCAGATTCCAAGTTGCTTCAGCTTCGATTTCACAGAGAAAAGGAGGTAGGTTTCAGGTTTGATTAGTTGGCTGTGGTCTAACATGCAAGGTCTATAAGGGATAATGCCATTTTAAATTGCAATTGCTCATAACTTGCATCATCAGCACTGTTCTCTGCATTTGGGTCGAGTAAAATGGTGAAGGCTCTTTTTAAGAAATACAATATTGTTCAAGGCTGATGAAGCTTTATTGCATATAGTAATCCTAGAATTCTGGGGAGAAGTACTGGGTTAAAAGAATTATGTAGTGGTTAAAATGTAGAGATTACACCCTATTATAAATGCTACTGACAAGAAACTATTGCATTTAGATTGGATGCCTTTTATTGGCGTTATTCCACTAAATGGTCTTAACGTTTAATTTATGTTATGTTTGCTATAATGACCAATTGCATCTTTCCTGTTGTATTTCACAAATAGTGAGCCTTTCTAATGTTTCATCCATCTTCATATGTTGTCATTTGTTTTTTGTATAGGTTGTTTCAGCAGCACAATTTGTGTATCAAGCTGTGCTAAGTTTAAAGAATATTCCTGTATTAGAGGCGGCTTACAAGCTCATCCTGGGAGAAATGACCTGTGCTCTGAACAGTCTCCTTCAAGAACTGGCTCTTCCTCTGGCCTGTTCAGAAATACAGCATGAAGCTTTCAAGGACATAACATTCAAGGACGACAGTGCAGAATTCATAATCGTATTTGATTTAAGTGCCCTTACTACAATTGGGAATGCAAAAAATTCCTTAATCGGAGTAAGTATTATCCTAATATGAAATATTTTTAGTTCTAGGGCATCTACGTTCCCACTGATTAATGTTAGTCCTTACAGCAGTTCTCTCTCTTCTTGCTCTCTGTCTCTGTCACTGCACATTTTGTGGCTTAAAGGTATCCCAGTCTAATTCAATCTATAGGACGTCTGTGAAACCATTCGGGTTGGCTGCTTTATTTTTCGATAATCCACTGTTCCTTTTGAGGAAGTACCTCGCCTCTCCTCCTGATGACAACAGATGCAAATTACAAGCTTGCATTCTCCCACTGTGTGGTGTAGGAACATGGGGAAGAAGAGTAGGCCATTCAGCCTCTCGAGCCTGTTCTGACATTCTGTTAAATCATAGCTAATCTGTACCTCAACTCCAGTTACCCACCTTTTCCCCATTTCCCTTGATGCCCTTATCTAACAAATTTCTATCCATCTCAGTCTGTTGTATTGGAGTTGTGGTGTGCTTCACCTTCATCAAATGTTGTCGATTTGATATGTTCAATGGAAACGCTTTCTAAAAGGATATATACTTTGAAATTTGTTAATTATTCTTGTCCTTTCTTTACAGATGTGGGCTCTTTCCCCAACTGTGTTCGCCCTACTCAGTGATAACCTTACTGTTGTTCATGCTGACCTTGCTGTTCATTATCCTGCCATCCAGTATGGAATCCTGTATACACTGTATTCCCATTGCACAAGGTGTGTTGATGTTTAATTATTGTAACTTGAGCCTATTAAATACTTATACTGTTATTTTCATTAACTACTTGTCATGTCGCATGGAAATGAGATGACATTTGAATTAATGGAATGATTTTTTTTCTTTGAAAATTCATTTGATTGCTTCCATTGGAGCGGTTTAGAACACCAAGATTTAATTTGCTGAAGAATAAATAGTGCTATTTATTCAGTTTTCTCCAGTCTTCTACCCAATGCACACATAATGTATTTTTAGTTCCTTTGCGATCAAGTGGATACCTGGTGGAAATTGATAGAAGCTATTGTGTTCTTTGTTCTTTGAAGTCAATCCATTATTCCTAGTGTTGATGGGCTTAGGGTTGGCTGAGGATTGGAAATTGCTCTGACTACCAATAACCTCCCCATATCTGTCTTGTACAAGGTAACAGCATATGAGAGATGGACAAGAGAGGCATGTTGAATCGAGAGGAAAGGCAAAACTATGCGGGCCACCATCGGTGGCCGGGCCTTTAGCCTCTCAGCCCCGAGGCTCTGGAACTCCATCCCCCAGTGCCTTCGCCGCTTCCTCCCTTTCCTCCTTCAAGGCCGGTCTCAAGACCTTTCTCTTTGACCGTGCCTTCAGCTCCGCTCTCGACTCTCTACCCCCTCCTCGTTCCCTCCCTTCCCTCTCCTCACCCTGACCATTTCCCCCTGCTCGGGTCCTGACCCAACTGTCCAGCGCCTTGGGACGTCCTCCCGACGTGAAAGGCGCTCTATAAATGGAATCTTGCTGTTGTTGTTCTTCAAGCAAATATATTTTGAGCTGCTCAAATGCTTTCTCGCTCCATCTAAATTATTTTATGCCCCGCCTGTGCTTTGTATTCCAGTATTCCCTCTCTTGTTTTTGGAATTCAACCCATCTCACAAGAAAAGGCATTGAAATTTTGAATGTTAACACAATTTCCAAATTCAATGCAATTGGAAAGAAGTACATTGTCATTTTTCAATACCAGTAAAATCCCAGCTCGCTCCAAATTGAGTAGTATAATGTTGGATTGGGTTTATGTTCACAGGCACGACCACTTCATATCCAGCAGTCTTAGTTCATCATCCCCTTCTCTTTTTGATGGTGCTGTTATCAGTACAGTCACCATGGCAACAAAGAAACATTTTCCCATCATACTCAATGTTTTAGGAACGTTGCTCAGTAAAGATCTTTTGAACCAAGATGCAAGGTAAGACAGATTTTCTATTTCCTATTTACAAGCCATAAAGCATATTCTGCAGCATTATATTTGGGAGTAATATTAGGTATTTACTAATTTACCTGTTTATTTTGTAAGGAAATTGTTACTGACCTGGGCATTAGAAATCACCATTCTAATGAAGAAATCGGAGACCTATGCTCCCCTGTTTACAATACCATCCTTTCACAAGTTCTGCAAAGGGTTGTTGTTGAATGGTAAGTAAGATTTCTGCCAAGCAGTACTCCTTTGTTTCTTGTGTATTTTGCAAAGCTCGGATTCTTAACGCTGCTTTCTTTCAAAATTAAACAGCTCTCCACGAAGACTCTTCCATCTGTTTGCAAGCATGCAGCAGTCTGCAAATGGTTTCTTCTTCATTGCCAAATGACCTGTTGCGGAGGTAGAATTTTTTGAGAAACAATCTTTTCATAGTTCGTGGGTTTTATCACTAAAAATTAAATTGTGTGTGAACCTTAAACTTTTTAAGATATAACCCTGGATGATATTATTTTCTCTTTACAGATGTGTCGACGTGTGTCGTGTACAGCTGGTGCACTGTGGAATTCGTGTTAGGCAGGCGTTTGGAAAACTTCTGAAGACTGTTCCTCTAGATATAACTTTAAGGTAACACGTCTTTTTTTCTTTTAAAAAAAACTCTTTAAAAACTCGAAGAATAATTAAATATGAGGAGGGTTTGGTCCCTCAAAGGTTTAATTGGTGAAGTCACTGCCTATGTTGAAACTAGCTATAGAAAGAAAGTGGAAAGAGCTTCATATTAACCTACTAAATTCCCACCAAATCAACCCTGTTGTGCCCAAAACACAAAATACTGCAGATGCTGGAATCTGAAACAAAACTGTTTTGTGCCCAGTTGTGTCGTAGGTTCTTCATAATTGCAAGTAATCACCAGAATGTCTTACAGAAAGAAATATGGAACTTATTTACACAGTTCAAATTTTAGTTCATCAAGTTAAGAGTGAAGTGTTATCCAGGGACAGACTCGTATAAAGCTTTAGGGTACTTGGGCCATGAAATGATATTAGCAAAGGAGTAAATGCAGAAAACCTATCTTTGTGGGGCAAAATATACATTAATTGATTTCACAGAGGTATTCGAATTACTGTGTAGGGCCAGTTTTAAGACTTTATATTAAGAAAAATCGGAATTGCTTTCGCTTTGTACAGATTTGCTTGCGTCATTTACTAAAATATTTTAGGTTTTTGTGAAGCATATCACGTGAAGCGCTTTGAGACATCCTCCAGACGTGAAAGGAGCTATATCCATTGCATTATTATATAATTGTATTTAATGTATGATCTCACTATACCCTAATTTTTATTCACAGTAACACCCACCACACAGAGGTACAAGGAATCTCGTTGGCTATAAGTACTCACATGAGTAAAGCTCCGAATAACACGTTTCATCCTCAGGACTTCTCGGATCTTATTAGTTTCATTTTATATGGAAGCTGTCACAGAATTGGGTAAGGTTTTAAACAAACTGAATATATCCTATATTGGGCGAACCAGTGTGTAGAATTTTCCAAATCATTGCATCAGTATAAAGGCCTCAGAAACTTTAAATTTGCTGCAGCTTTTCTGCTCCTCTTTCAGCAAGGATCATTGGCTGGAGAGACTGTTTCACAGTTGTCAGAGACTGGACAAACCTGAACAATCCTCTATTCCTCGAAATCTGTTGAAAACGGAGGCTGTGCTGTGGCAGTGGGCAGTTTGGGAAGCAGCACAATTCACAGTTCTTTCAAAGCTACGAACACCTTTGGGCAGAGCACAAGATACATTTCAGACTATTGAAGGTAATTCGAGCTATACATAGCCCTGTGTATGCCATCTTGCCATATATTCCTTCATTGCCTGTGAAATCCCTTAAATGTTAAGGTAATTCATAAACTATGCAGATCAGACCCATTATTAAGCGCCTTGCTGGTGCGCAAGTTCACCTATCAACGGCAACAAAATTACATTTGTGTGGCGCTTTTCACGTTGGGAGGACGTCCCAAGAGAGGATCTCCCATGAATCCACAATCACCAGAAAATGAAGTACCCTTCCAGCTTCTGGTGAATTGTGTAATTGTCTACTGTAAACAATTACAATTTTAAACCGTTCTGTTTTGCTCACAATCTGTGGAGGCTACATTACAAGCTAATCCATTGTCCTGCACTTGAAAGGTTTTGTGGTTTATCACTGCATTTGTAAACAAATGACTTCTTCATCAGAACGTTACCAGTCTAACAATGCAATGTTGATATTAAACGTTTTCCATTTTCTTTTTTTTAAAACAAAACTAGGTATTATTAGGAGCCTGGCTGCTCACACTCTGAACCCTGATCATGATGTAAGCCAGTGGACTGTTGCAGACAACGATGATGGACATAGCAGTAACCAGCTGAGACTTATTCTTCTTCTACAGTATTTAGAAAACCTTGAGAAGCTGATGTACAATGCATACGAAGGATGTGCCAATGCACTCATGGCACCACCCAAGGTTACTATTGGACATGTTAATTTCAGTCGCAGTGACGCAAATGTTTTAATTAATGCTTGTAATTGTTCAAGGTTTTTGTTGTACCATGTTGTAACTTTTTTAAGCTATATAACTTGTCTGAATTGCTGAGAAAATCTTGTTTGTATTATTAATATTTGAGCTGTGGTACAATGTTTTTGACTTTGCAGGTTATTCGGACATTTTTCTACACAAATCGTCAGACGTGTCAAGATTGGTTGACAAGGATTCGTGTGGCTATCATGCGGGTTGGTTTGCTGGCTGGACAGCCAGCTGTGACAGTCAGGCATGGGTTTGATTTGTTGACGGAGATGAAGAACAATGTGACTCAGGTATGCTTAAAATGATTCAAGCCAGTTTTACATCACTATGGAATTCATTTTATAATTATTTTGGTGTAAGCAGAAAAGTGATACAAGCAAAGTGAAGATTTTCAATATTTTTTTTAAAAATCCAATTTTTCTTCAATGTGATGTAGACCACAAAGGTCTTTTTCTGATTCTACACATTCTTTTAACTAAACGTAGCTGGGACATTCATTGTATTGCTTAAGGTGGGGCAACACCTCTCTTTAGAGAATTATCAAATTTGTCCTTTCATCTTGTATCTATGAAAGAAGTCCAACATTCCCAAACTAAATTAGTTTCCGGTTGCTTTTATGAATTCCATTTAAAATACGAGGCTTCTAAGATAGATATGTTACACCTAATAATGGATGACTGTCTACTGCGTTATATAACTGTTTTTCACACAAAGGATCTAATGTCTTGTAGTTGAGCTTTATATGCAGTAACTAGCACCGAGCGTCACGTTTTTGTAATTCAGTCAGTAAAGAGTCTTTGAATTCTCCCCCACCACCCATACACCCATTCCCAAAGATTGTGACACCTATGTTCATATGTATTTGTGTCTTGTAAAAGGATCTGACTTTAAAGAATCTGCTAGTCTGGTTTGGTTTCGTTTTGATCACAGTTTAGGCTATTTTTACAGATACAGTATGTATTTAAGTATGTTTTGTCTCACAATTGCAGAATTAAATCTTGTTTTTGTTAACAGCTGAGCGAAGAATTGAATGCAATTCAACAACCGCAATCCATTTTCTACAGTATTCTGGGCGGTTTTGTCACCTAATATTACTGTACTGTGTGTTTTATTTGTCCAATGGAATGTCTGGTCAGAAAGTGACTAACTATTTTGGCTGTCTTCATTAGGGAAATGAAATTGAAGTGACTGTTATGATGATTGTGGAAGCGCTGTGTGAGCTGAATTGTCCCGAAGCTATACAGGGAATGGCTGTCTGGTCTTCAGCAGTACTTGGAAAGAGTCTCTTGTGGATAAACTCTGTAGCACAACAAGCAGAAGGGAGGTAAGTAAGCAGCTGTGTGGTCTAAGTGTATTTTTAGATTTGGAAACTAAATTGGGTATTGTATTGTCATTTCTGTATTCTACAGGAAGACCATAAGACCGTATCTTGTTCCTATGGTGATATAGATCTGAGTGTAACTTATTGATTGCAAACCATTATGTTTTTTAAGCATTAGTTTGAAGATTGATGTATTCAAAATAACTTGTACAAAAGTAGTTTGTTCACGACTCTGCTTTTCTGTGCTTTTCAGGTTTGAAAAGGCAGCAACTGAATATCAGGAGCAATTGTGTGCCATGACTGGAGTAGACTGCAGCATCAAAGGCCTTGATAAAACCCTTCTCAAATTAGCCAATGCTGGCGGTAGTAATACTGCCAGTCCAAAGCATTCAGGCAATGGTAAGTGAAATTTACAGAGGAAGTGGCACCAGTGGAGCAATTTGCACATTCACCGTTTGGAGGAAGTGATCAGCGCTCTGATTACTTGTAAAAGCAGCCATTTTTCCGTGCTCTGCTTATCATGTTGGACCCAGATGACTGGGTATCACAGCGATGTTGCTCAGTACTTTCGACTCGTTTTTATTAAAAACAAATTTGATAAGTAGCTAAGTCGAAGCTTAAAGTGAGCCTTGATGATCATTGCCTATAGGACTCACTTTGTGTTCTAGGAATTAAATCTGGTCCTTTTTTTCCCCAACATTAAAGACTACTTTCACAGTTGTTCCTTTGTTTTCTCCCTGAACACCTTCTGAGATAAACTGGTTGTCTCTATGGAATACATGAGTGAGAAGGGAACAGAGGGATGTGGGAGAAGAGATTAAGATGGGGTGAAGCCTTGTGGAATATAAATACTAACATGGACTAGTTGGGCTAAATGGCCTATTATTTTGCTATCATATCCACTTCTATGGGTACATGCAATGTGCTTTATGCATTTTATATGGAGAACAAATGAAAAGAACTGACAGTTGTTCATAAGAGTTTACTGCTGTAAGGATATGTTGATTCAAAAGATCAATTGTGAGATTAATGAGATCGATTGTGACTTTCTAAATCAATTGAATTGCAACTTTTAAAATGTCTTAATATGTAACACAACATGCATATATTTATACAGCTGATGGCAAGAAGACTGTTCTTACCAAACCCAGTGATGCCTCCCCAGAAGTCGGGAACTATTTGGCAAATAAAGCTTGTGAATGTTACATTTCATTGTCTGATTGGCCAGCTGTGCAGGAATGGCAGAATAGCATCCTAGGTTTGAAGAAAACTGTAAATGGATCGTCCATCCAATTGAAAGCTGACTTCAACTACATCAGGTAGAAACTGAATGCATTAACTATTTTGTATTTTTTGCAGTGATAGCATTTAATTGTTATTTGAAATAGGCCCTGCTCTGGCCAGGCTCATTGATTTTAAGATCAGTGTGGAGGGGGAAAGAGGACAAATTCTTGAGTCAGGCTCTCAGCTCTGCTGAATATTGGATTTAATGCAAGTTTTCACCCATTTCAAGAGTTGGGATGGTGTGGGTTAATTACACCTTTTTAATTGATATTTAATTTCATTAGTTTCTGACAAGTGAGCAACAGAAATGCTTTGGTACAGAAATGCTGCTGAAGTCGATAGAGTTAAATTATTAAATCCAAACCCTTAGTACTCTTTTTTAAAAAAAAGTATGTTTTTGAGCCAAAACATTTTTTGTAAGATGTGAGTTGCCATTCCTGTTAAGTTGCTTGTGACACTCCTGAGTTAAGGTTTACAATTTGTTGCAGAGCCCTCAGTAGCTTTGAATGTGGGGATTTCCCTGCATGTCAGGAGCAGCTCGAGCTATTGCCTGGAGAAGACATTAACTTTATCAATGGAGCCTCTAAAGACAAATTAGGTATGTAAAACTACTGTCAGTGACCTGTCATGATCGAACACTGTCTTACACTCACACAGTTTTTCAAAATCAGGAATTTGTAAGTTAATAAAATATGATGAGGCAATTAACTTTAATATTTTGGAAAGTGATATTTTTGTATTTGAATGGTTAAATTTAAAGTGGTTCTAGAAATCTTTGCTATACTGTTATTTTTCCATGTTCATAGGTTCCAAAGGTACTGCGAAATGAATGATTGTGGTTAGAAACTAAATTTTGTGTGTTGCATTTTCATTTCAGTTAAATATGTAATGTTTTTCTGTGTGTTATTCTTTCTCTCCCCCACCCTCCACTAGTACTTAATTTGATGGCATTTTCAAATGACTTGTTACCAGATTATGACATTTTGAAATTGTTTCTTGTTTAATAACTAATGAAAATGATTTTTGTAAATTTGTAGACATGAAAAAGCTTCTTCCCAATGTGCTGAGCCCTGACCCTAGGGAGCTTCAGAAAGCCATTGAGGTTCAGCTAATGAGAAGTGCGGTGTGTTTTTCTTCCACTATTAACCAAGCAGAGCAGGAAAAGAAACTCCAAACCAGTACTGAGTAAGTGAATATGATACTGTATTCAGTGTTCTGCTTTTGTTCCCTGGCAAGGCAATGCACACCCGTCTCATTTGATCCCCAAATCTGTGTCCAGTATTGTCACGTCACATATTGTTTCCAAACGGTGAACTTTTTGACTGTGATTGTCCTGTTATGTGGGATGTATACAAATTAAGATCTTGAAACTTGTAATCGGGTAATTTGTTTTTACGGTTTCCCTAATGTGTTCCTTTAGCAACACCAATTAAATCTAGTGATACATCTGACTTGATTTCAGTGTAAACAAAACGTGTGAGTGTGTTTTTTTAATGTATAATTCTGTTGGTGAATAAACCAGAGTGAATCTGCCTCCAGCCCTTCACCAAGCAAACATTGACAACTCCTGATTGTTGTCTTGAGGGGCCACCAAATTGACTTGAATTCACAGATTGGTATGGGATCAGGAACACATAAAAAGAAGCATCATCTTATGCAACCATAATGCCTTTTGATACAAAGAAAGTAATGGTGCTTTACAGAGGTAACTTAACTGATAACTGCGGTAATAGAATGCAGCTTGGCTAAATGTTCATGTAAATGTGTGTCATTCAATTTAGGAATACAGTCAGATATCTGAAACAGATGGCGCGCATTGCTGTTGGACCACTAAGATTATCTACATTATCGATGGCTGGATCACTGCCGATGCTAAGCACTCTACAGTTGTACTGTTCAACTGCACTTGAGAATACTGTGACAAACAAGCTATCAACAGAGGTAATGATCCTCCATCAAACAGAGTATAAGGGAGGGCTTTTTTTTTCCTAATTTGCCGGGATTACGCCAGCTGCAATAAGGAACTTTTTAAAAGTTTTATTTGGCTGATGGTGTTTCAGTTTGAAAAAATTGTTAGTTGTTGTACCATGAATAAAGAGGTAGATGTGGTAGCACAAAAAGATGCTCATAGTGAATTCCTGCTCTTGATTATTCTAACTCACAAGCAACAATGATGTATATACTTATCAAAACAACTTGGATAGGGAAGCAGAGTGTTTAAAGCTTTGTTAATGGGGGATCTAAAACATAATTGTGACTGGCTGTCACAAGCATCATTTCTTGTTGTTCCCCAGATGTGCACTGCACCAAACCATGAGATCACTTCTCTGATGCCGTCTGTTCATTTGCATTTTATGTTGTGGAGCACGGTTGATTGTACGTTTGTTGGGGAAAGATATACTGTCTGAATGTGAATTTTCAGTTGGAACATTATCAATTTAACAGGATCTTCCTTTTGTAGGATTGTCTTCTGCCACTGTATAGTGAAGCTCTAGAATCCTGTAAGCAACACGATGTCCGCCCATGGCTTCAAGCGTTGAGATATACAGTATACCAAGCTCGTATAGCTGAAAAATTAAGAGGTAAAGCATAATTTTTAATTTTCAAAGGAGAAAATTAGAATTATTCTCAATTTATGATGCGTTTGCAAGTACATTCTGGTTTTATTTCCAGGGGTCAGCACTTCAGTTAATGGGCATCTCATGGAACTTGGGCTGACAGCTGTTAAATTTGCTCGCAAACGGGGAAATGTGTTTTTGGCAACCAGGCTCCTCGCACAGTGCAGTGAGACTTCATTGGGAGATACCATCACCGCTCAAGATTTGGTCCATCTTTTTAAACAAATCTCATTGCAAGGCACCGTGAATGAAAAGTGGGGACCAGAACTTGATATTGAAAAGGCAAAGCTGTTATACACTGCAGGTAAGTAACGATTGTGTGTTTGTGCAATAAATGCACTTTGGTATTAAATTGTGTCCTAGTTTTCTTTGTTCTCTTTGTGTATCAGCCCGACTCAGTGAGTTAGAGGGTTGTGGGTTCGAGCCCCTTAATCACTGTCTCTTCTTTTTATGTAGATAAATTATATTTGTCGCTTGCTCTTGAATGACTTTCAGTACAGTAACTTGAACACTTCATTGAGGTAACGAAATATTTCATTGTGAACTGATGCCCACACTTTTTATTAATGTCTTCATAGGTCAGTCTACGCATGCCATGGAAATGCTGAGTTCTTGTGCCATAGCTTATTGTAGATCTGCCAAAGCGGAATCTGCAGTTGCCAAGTCGATCCTAACGTTGACCAAGTGGATTCAAGCAGAATGGAAAGAAATGTCTTCCCAGCTAAAGCAAGTCTTTAGGGCTCAACAGCAGAAATCGATTGCCGGCCTCTTGACTCTGTCTAAAAACATACATACGTTGGCTGAAATGACCACTCCTAGTTTAGTCCCAGAGGAAGGGGCTTGTCCAAAAATATTAGCTGAATCAACTGGTAAGTAAAGTGGCTCGATGCAAGTCTATTTGTCAAGGTATTTTGTGTTAAGATTTAATTAGTACTGACTGATTTATTTTTATTTATAGTCAACATTGGTGTTGGAGAACCCGATTTCATTTTGGGGCAATTGTATCATCTGTCAGCAGTTCAGGCCCCGGAAATAGCCAAGTCTTGGGCATCGCTGGCCAGTTGGGCCTACAGATGGGGCAGGAAGGTAGTTGACAATGCCAGGTAAGTCTTTATTCAATTATCAACCTATTGTCGTATTATATGTTCCAATAAATATGTGCCAGACTAACATCTAAAATTACACTTTCAAGCGATTTTTATTCAAAGTTGCTCTTTGATTTTTACATCTGTTTAATATTGAATTTAACACAGCCAAGGCGAAGGCATTCCTCTTCTGGCTCGAGAGAAGGCAGAAGTTCAAAATCTACTCCCAGAAAATGTGTCCGAAGAAGACAAGGAAGCTATTTATGGAATTTTAGGGCAGGCTATGTGCAGACCAACAGGCATTCAGGTAAACTAAAATGAAATGGGCGAACATTTAAAAAAAAACTTGTGCTACTGTTTCTTATTCATAGCAGCAGAAGTAAATTGCTTCGATTTGTTTATGCAAGTATAAATGAATAACTGACAAGAGAGATAGGAAACGCTATTTTTCAGTTGACGCTATGAAATTGAACGCCACCGTTTTATCATTCTTGAAAAGGAAGTCAATAAGCTGCAATGATCATTCACATTTGCCTGATCAGATCCAATAAATTATTCTGCAGCGTGGATGGCTGGCTACCTTTAAGGCATTTTTTTTTCTTAGAATATCATGGTCATAAGAATTGCAGCTTGGGAGAGGAGGGTACACACCGGGTTAGCGTGCCGGAGAAGTGCTCTAGGTCGCTGCCCCGCGTAAAGGCTTCTATATAAATGCAAGTTGTTGTTATATTTGGCTCCATGAGCCTAAAGCACTGCTAGCTCATTTACCGTGGACTGAACCTTTAACGTTCTAAACATCATTCAGGATGAAGATATGGCCCTGCAGATCACTGAAAATGACGATGAGGAAGATGACATGGTAGAGGTTATCTGGCGACACCTCCTGACCAGCTGCCCATGGCTTGCTGACCATGATGACGGTGTGGTCGAGGGATTAATCGAAACGTGGAGAAAAGTTGTAGACCGGATATTCAACCTTTACAAGCTGTCTTGTAAAGCATACTTTACTTTTCTCAAACTGAATGCTGGTCAGGTTGGTTGCTAAATTCTAATTGCTGCCAATCTTACTCTGCCATATGATTTTATTAGACTGGGAATTGATCGTGCGTGTGTGTAGAGGGAAAATTAAGAATCAGATGGGAGAAGATTGTGTTTGATTGTGTTTGATTCTTTATCCGGCGTTTTGAAAGTTCTATTTTTTTATACCAGTGGCATGTTTTCTCCAGTGACTGCTTCTGAGAATTAGAGTTCTGAAGCTTATTCTAGCTATTGAGTAAAGTGCAATATGATTTTGAGCGCGAATTGCATTGATGGGAATATGTATATTACAGGTTCGTGCGGACACTGAAGATCCTAAGATGCCTAATACATCCACCAAGCAAAGCAACGACGATGTCATTGTCATGGCAACTTTAAGATTGCTCAGATTATTAGTGAAGCACGCTGGAGAACTTAGACAAGGCCTAGAGCATGGTCTGGCGACTACACCCACTGCTCCTTGGAGAGGCAAGTACTAAAACAATTACTATACGTTTGTATCAAATGCAAGGAACGGAAGGATTGCAAATCGGCTCTCTTCAGATAATCGTGCATGTATCTTTTCTGACAGTGGTTGCTGCTTTCACACCAGATAAATTGGGGTTTTAAAGTTTAGAAGCTGTCAGGTGAATGCATTCAACTGCTGTATTTACCAATTCGCCTTTTCGCTTATATATCAAGTCAAAAGGCGGATATGTATGAACTAAGCTCCCGCAGAGTTGAGTTGATAGAACACCAAGTGACTCCTTAAATTGACGCCAGGCTAAAGATTATTCCTTTTTATTTGCAGTTGTATGCTTTGTATTTCCAAAACTAAAATGTAAAACTTGCAGCTGCACAGTGATTGAGCTCCTTTTACACTTGTTGGATGTATGAAAAAAAGCTAGAGTGTTTTCTGTGTTTGGATCAACTTTGCATGATCTTTTCCATTGCTTCTTGGCATGATTGTCCATTTACAGAACACTTTGAACAGTGCTTAAACTGAGTCTGTGTTTCATTCCAGGTATTATTCCACAACTGTTCTCGCGTTTGAATCACCCTGAGGTTTATGTGCGTCAAAGCATCTGCAATCTACTGTGCCGTGTGGCTCAGGACTCTCCTCACCTTATCTTATATCCTGCAATCGTTGGCTCAATCTCACTGAGTTGTGAATCTCAGACTTCCGGTATGTTCTTGACTTCATTGTGTAAACTTGTGCTTGAGCGGGAAGACGTGCTTAAAATATAATCTTTGTTCCTATTCAAATCAATTGCGTTTAAGACGTTGAAGGTTCAATCCTGAAACACTATACATATTTGCCCAGTATCAGCTGTTTTGTTTGGGTGAAAATGGGAAAAGAAGTATTTTTTTCACTCGGTTCCCAACTCCAGTTTCTTTTTCTCCCTTCCTCCTTTTGTTGTTCACTCACCATAAGGATCTCCTTTGTAAAGTGGGCTTGTCCAAACCGCAATCTTCTATATATTTGTCACCTAGTTGACTGACCGGGGTCAGCAAGATTTTACCCTCCCTGATATTCAGTGCTCTTCCAACATTAGTCTTGCCAAAAAATAAGGAAATGAGTCCTAATTGCTGCAGATTGATTTGAGTGACTGATCCTCACCTTGAAACGTATGTTGGGAGACTTGCCAAGTAATGACTGTTAGCAAGCAGGCAGCTGGATGTCCGTTGAACTTGCTTATAGCCATTCTGTTCTTTCACATCTTCTCCTTTAGGAGGCAAACTGTCATCTGCAATTCCTACCCTGCTGAGTAACATTCAGGCTGACGGTCTCTCTGGAGGCGAGTGTGAAGAAAGTAGCCCCCCTGGGTCACAGGACAGTATTAAAGATGAACAGAAAGCTTGTTTTAATGAAGATCAAGCTATGATGCAGGACTGCTACAGTACAATAGTAGATAAACTATCATCTGCAAATCCTACCATGGTTTTACAGGTACTGTAAACATTTACCATTACATTTTGTTCAGATTGAATTGTTTGCTGTCTTTCCGTAATAACATTTAAGTTAAATCCATCTTTAGAGACTGACTTCAGTGGGTGAAAAGATGATATAAAATCATCGTATTGAACTCTTTATAGAAGATCTATCGAACCAGATTACTTTCAATTTAAATCATCTTTTTCCCAATACCTTAAACCTAGACCACTGTATTTAAGTTCTCCGGTGTTTAAAGCGTATTTTATTTGACCACTGACATCAGCTATGGGACCCTCCAGTGAATTGCTTCACGGTAATTCATAGTAATGCCTCCTGGTTTTGTCGAACAATTGAGAAGCATTCGAAATGGTAACACAGGATTATCATTTACCACTGCTGTAAAACTTGATTGTTAAATTAAAACCACCAGCGTGTTAAGTCCTCATTATTATGGAGACAAATCTTTAGTGGAAAGCCTGGAAATATAAGAACCTCATTTTCCAATATTCTAAAAAGTAGCATAATGAGTAACTGAGCAAATCATCCCTTTTCATAATGGCTATTAATAGCGTATAAGCAGTAATTCATTAGCATTTTAGACATGGTCTTCCAGAGTCTGTTTATATATCCACAGTGAATTATTTTATGACCGTATCAAAATAGGTTCAATATCCATGTTACAGTTTAGGATGTGAGAAGTCTTGACGCTCAAATTTACAAGATATAACAATGTTTTCCCTCTCTTGCAATATGCTGGTGTTGGTTATGTAGGTCCAGATGTTGGTTGGAGAATTGCGGAGAATTACAGTGTTGTGGGACGAGCTCTGGCTCGGAGTACTGCAACAGCAACACATGCATGTGCTGAGACGCATACAGCAATTGGAGGATGAGGTGAAGAGGGTTCAAAACAATAATACTCTTCGCAAGTAAGTATTTAAAATCGGGTATGAATTTTAATGATGCTCATAGACAGTGCTGCGATAAAGCTGGACTCTTTCCCAGTATAGCCGCTATAATGATTTTGTGTCGAGTTAGCTACTTAATCGAAGAATGTGAAGTTAAAAGCACTTAATAAATAATGCATGTATACGTATTGGGTGAGATGGGGATCCGTGTCAACTGTGATACCCTCTCACACTAAGTATTCGGTAGTTTCCGCAAAGTCGTTTAGTTAAGGATGGTAGCAGCAGCTATGCGATCAGAGCTCATCTTAAATTTGCTCCTAGAGTAGAGGAAAGGGAGCTTTTAAAAAGATATATATTTATTATTGTTTTCAAACTTAGAGATTTAATCTACAGAGACCTTCCTGTAAAGTTGTGTTATATTTATTTCTGTCTTTCTATATAGATTCAGTGTCATTTTAGTTGTGGCATTAACATAAGTGGTGAGGTGGAATTGCCGTCAAACTAATAACTGGATCAGAGTGAGCAGCAATGCGAATGTTTCCTGCACGAATGAGAGTTTAATTTTACATGGTTCCGTCTTGATGGTATTTTTTTGCTTTTAGGGAGGAGAAGATGGCTATAATGAGAGAGAAGCACACAGCCCTGATGAAGCCAGTGGTGTTTGCTTTGGAGCATGTGTGCAGCATTACTTCAGCGGCGGCAGAAACTCCTCATGAAAAATGGTTTCAGGACACCTACGGAGAAGCAATTAATAGCGCTTTGGAAAAACTGAAGACGCCATCAAATCCTGCAAATCCAGGCACTAGTTGGATTCCCTTTAAACAGGTGAGCTTTCTGACAGTCAGACATATTTACTGGTTAATAATTGTGCTTCACTGAATATTTCACCACATCGTACTAAGGACAGTGAATCTGAATTTTTGAAGTTTTTTGGGGGGATTGGAATTTGCTGAGCGCCACTTTCCCTATCTTTTGTCAGCCACGTAAAATGACCTTAAATCAGGTAGGAAGCCAGGCCAACATTAATGGGCTGAATCAGCTAAGGAACAGCAATAGCATTACAATTGATCTTGGCTCACTTCGACAAATTAGTCACGGTTTCCATTGATTTACTTTTACAAGTTCTGCATAATGCCCTCTGTGATCAAGTAGCCAAGTAATACTCAGTTATGGCTTAGAAATGCAGAATAGCCACTTGGATGATGTACCAGTAAGCTGCTCCCACTAAGAGCAAAGACCTTCAGGAAATGGTAGAGGGAAGAAAAGAGGCATTTAGAAGAATATTTTTTTGAAACTTGAATGGAGAGTGGTGAAATGTGACACTCATGTTGTAAAGGATGGGCGACTAAGGTTAGAATTTGAGAAACCTTGCATCGGCAGTTTGCAGAACACGTACTTTGACATTTGTTAAGTGAAAATGTTTTGTTTCAGCACTAATCTATCAAAAGCGAAAGGTTGACCGAAATGTATGAGATTTTGGCAATTTTCTTTTTTTTTTTGCGACACCCATTTTTTTTTACAGATAATGATAAGCTTACAACAGAGAGCTCAGAAACGAGCCAGCTACCTATTGCGACTGGAGGAAATCAGTCCACGAATGGCTGCTATGTCGGGCACAGAGATCGCCCTGCCTGGAGAGATCTCCGCAAGGGATGCTGTGACAATTCAGAGTGTTGGCAATACCATCACCATTCTACCCACCAAAACCAAACCAAAGAAGCTTATGTTCTTGGGCTCCGATGGGAAAAACTATCCGTATCTGTTTAAAGGTAAAATCACTCTATTTTAGAATCATTGCAATGTTCGTGTGTGTGTTTGTTTTTTAAGCATTATCCTATTCATCTATTTTTCAATCCCATAGTAGGAGTTAGTAGCTAAAATAGATGGCATAAGGAACATTTGTGAAGCCCTTGGAGACGTCACGTGATAAGGGGTTATATCAAATCCAGGGATTATTATTATTAACATTTGTTTTGAACTTCGTTGGTATAATTTTCAGTTTACAGAATTTTACTTTAGGTTCGGAAAAAACCAACCCAATTTATCCTCTACAATGTATAAGAGGCAGGATAGGGAAACAACAGTATTCACAGTCAGCTTTGGATACAAATCGTGTAAAGTCTGCACTTGTTAACATATTTTGAGCTTTTCACTATGAATGATGAGACTAATTTTTATANTTTTTTTAATGTCCGATCACAGGGCTGGAAGACTTGCATCTAGATGAGCGAATCATGCAGTTCTTGTCGATTGTAAATACCATGTTTATAAAAATTAACAGACAAGAGACTCCCCGTTTCCATGCAAGACACTATTCTGTGACCCCACTAGGAACCAGATCGGGACTCATTCAGTGGGTGGATGGGGCCACTCCTCTTTTTGGACTTTACAAGCGATGGCAGCAAAGAGAGGCTGCTTTGCAGGCCCAGAAGGTAAATCAAACTGTTTTAAATTCTGAGGTTTGAGACAAATTTATGAGTAATGCGTAGCTGTACTGAACAAATCCCTTCATTCTTAATTTTGATGGTGAAGTAATAATGTTAAGTAAACAAAATAATTGTGGAAATAATGTAAGTAAACAAAGTAATAGTAAAAAATCCATTCCACTGGACGCTAAGACTAAAAATGTATTAGTTTTACTGATCTTGTTACATCAGATTTTGATTTTATACCCCGATGACTTTGTTTTATATAAAAACAAAGTTATAACAGTTCAGTGTTGTTTTTCCCCCACAGACTCAGGATTCTTACCAAACTGCCCCAAACCCTGCTTTGGTACCTCGACCCAGTGAACTGTACTACAGCAAAATTGGCCCAGCTTTAAAATCCATGGGTCTTAATCTGGACGTCTCACGGCGTGATTGGCCTTTGACTGTAATGTGCTCCGTCCTAGAAGAACTGATGGACAGCACACCACCAAATCTTCTAGCAAAAGAACTGTGGTGTTCATGTACTACTCCAGATGAATGGTGGGGAGTTACACAGGTAACTGTAAAAGCTTAACGCCAGTTATTAAATAGTTTTAGTTCTTTAGATATTTCTTCACCCAAGTTTAAATCTTTTATTAAGATTAATGAGTTGTGGAAAAGGAATGCAAATTAATTCCATCGCAATCTGTTACTGCGAGAATTGGAGCCGGTGACATTATTAGGACACTTTCATCAGGATTTCTTTGCACTATGACTTTGGTAGCAGGTTAGCGGATGGATAGTTACCTTTGGCGAACCCCTTGCATTAAGATCAGATCATTTGTAACGACTCCTCCAAACAAAATGTCCTCCTGCTTTGCATCAATCCTTAGATTTGATTTCAGGGAGGCTAATTTTTAAACAAAAAAGGAAGTTGGAAGGGTTCCCAGTGTAATTTTGTTTTACATGCTGCAGGAACAGATTTGTGGAATACATTAAGGGAGAAGAGTATAAATGGATTTGAAGAATAGAGGAATGTACCACAAAGGTTTTGAGTCAAAGAAGGGATGGGTCTGCTGTGTTTTTTTTTCTTCAGTTGACATAACTATACTTTTTTTCTTCTAGTCGTATGCAAGATCAACTGCAGTTATGTCAATGGTTGGCTACATAATTGGGCTTGGTGACAGACATTTGGATAATGTGCTCATAGATATGACAACTGGAGAGGTTGTGCACATTGACTACAATGTTTGCTTTGAAAAAGGTAATTTGGGGGTACATTTGAGAACTTTTTGTTTTAGTAGACTCACATTTTCAAGTTTTTATACGGGAATGCTTAACTCTTTTTGTTCTAACTATTTCTAGGAAAAAGTCTAAGGGTCCCTGAGAAGGTCCCGTTCAGAATGACTCAGAATATTGAGACAGCACTTGGCGTCACTGGGGTTGAAGGATTATTCAGACTTTCTTGTGAACAGGTTGGTTTGTTGGCACTTAACATAATTTTTTTAATAATAATAATCCATGCATTTGATATCGTGCCTTATCAAGTCTTCAAGACATTTCAAGGCGCTTCACAGAATATACTGTGAAGGGAATTAACTGTATATTTTGTGGCAGCCAATTGCGCACAGTTTTGTGTAGATTTTAATTCAACTTGTGATGCCTCATAACAAAATGCTTGCAGGCATTTATTTTCTTCCATCCTTTTCCGTTGTGTGTCCTGACAGGTAGTACAGATAATGCGACGTGGTCGAGAGACTCTCTTGACATTGTTGGAAGCTTTTGTGTATGACCCACTGGTAGACTGGACTGCAGGTGGTGAGGTTGGATTTGCTGGTGCTGTGTATGGCGGAGGGGGACAGCAGGCCGAAAGCAAACAGAGCAAGAGGGAGATGGAAAGAGACATTACCCGTAGCCTCTTCTCTTCCAGAGTTGCTGAAATCAAGGTATTAAGTAGTAATAGTAGGAAATAATCACCTTTGAAATAACAAACATTTAATTAGAGTTCAAAAGCTAACAAAGACTAGTTTTTAGTTCCTGCGTAAATTTGAATTTGTATAAAAACTGTTGATGCATCAATGCTTTTCCTAAAAATATATTCTGGTTTTCATAAAAGATATTAAAAGTACAAGAAATATACAGCAGTAATGCAGAAGAGTGAAAAAACAAAAAGAGCCAATCTCCCCCCCCCCCCCCCCTTAAACTTTAAACAGTTAATTAATTTTAAGTGAAACTGTTAAATGCTTCCTCCTAGACCCGGACGAACAAATACAGTTTAGAACAATTTGTAATATTCAGAAACCAGTAAATAAAATTAGGCAAGAAAATCTCACATCTTACATTGATTATTGTCGTCTTCGATTAGTCTTAATTGTCTTTGATTTGTTTGTTTTTTCTCTGTCCCCCAAAAGGTGACATGGTTTAAGAACCGGGATGACATGCTGGTAGTTATTCCTAAACTTGATACAAATTTAGAGGATTATCTGAATCTGCAGGAACAGTTGACAAAAGTAGAGAAACTACAGGGTAAATTGCTGGAGGAAATTGAGTTCTTGGAAGGAGCTGATGGCAGCCTTGATCACCCAGCGCATACTTTGGAACGAAGGTATATTAAAATCTGATTTATAAAGTGTGTGTGTTCTCTCTTATGGTATCAAGCAAAACTAACTTTACGATACTGCTGTTAAAAAAAAAAAAAAATGATTCAGCATGAACTGGATAAATAGGTGGCTAATAAAGCAAAGTTTATTTTGCACATCTAAAAGTAGTTTAATCAAAGTCAAATGCAAGTATTGTTCGATGCTTTTGTCTGGATTCATGATGTGCCAACCCACATTTGTCTCATTAATTTATAAGACATGGATATCTAGTGACAGAATATTCATTGGGGTTTTGTTTGCAACTGGTAATCATGTCAAAGAAATTGGTCGTGAGAATGAATAATTCAAAATTAATTATAGGTTGATCCATAACCCTCCTTTTTTGTTTTGGTTTACTTATGCAATAAGCCTAACCACCACACAAAGGTTATGTTTAAAATTTGCTTTTAGTTAAATTGCATCTGATCAGGCTCAAGTTAGTATTTAGACGTACCAGCGGATGTTCAGAGACCCACATTTTCTCTTCTTTTTTAAAAAAAAGTTTAAAAATCTGAACTGGAAAATCTGTTAAATCTCAATCACATTTTGTGTTGAAATTTTTAATTCTATAATTGTTTACTGTGGCATTGTTTTTACATTTAGATATTCAGAGCACACTCAGTTACAGTCTCAGCAACTGGCTGTACAGGACGCTATTCAGGTGAAGCTGAATGACTTTGAACAGTGGATTACACAATATCAGGCTGCCTTTGGAAGTCTAGAAGCTACGCAGCTTGCAAGTCTGCTCCAGGAAATCAGTACTTCACTTGACCTAGGTAACTTTTCTTTAATGTGTGTGCTTATTTATATATGTGTATATGATATATATGTATAATATGTGTGTGTGTGTGTATATATATATTTCATGTATAACCATCTTCAAATTGGTTTATGCTGCAAGGTTCAGGAAGGTGAAATACATTAAACAAACTGCTGCCTGGTGGAGATCAGTGTCGTTAGTTTTTGTGCTTGATCGTGCGTTGTTAATAAATGTGGCAGATCAAGTATGGAAGATGCGTGATAACTAGATTATGCAGGCGGGCCTTCTGCCACTCTGCCCCCACCCTCTGGAACTCCATCCAGCAGTCCCTCCACCTCGCCCCCTCACAGCTTGAACACATGCAAACTACTCATAAGTAGTTCTAAGGTGATTCATTCGGTTAGTGGTAGATCTGCTCAAATACAACAGACCTTTTTAGAAAGGCCAACACTAGGTCGTGACTCTCTACATAGGCTGCGCTCTATGTGGGTGCAACTTCCTGTCTTCTTACAGCCTGATCTAATTTCACAAGCATGCGGTGACAGGGTTGCTATACTGCTAATTGGACTCATTCCAATCGCCTGAGATAGAAGAAAACATGATGGGAGGGAGTTTCCTTTGTTTTTGAAAATCTAAATTTATCTTATTGTTGTGGAAGTATTTGTAAATATGCTTTAAATTTCCTGCACCACCTTTAAAGGCCCAAAATGTCACCTCGTCTTCACCAGTAAGACGGTTTTGTCTTTCAAGTTTAAGTTTGCGCAGGATTGTGCTAAACATTAAATTCAGTTTTCAAAGACTTCCTTTTAACAACTATTGCAAAAACAACCTCCAACTTATGACTGAATTTGAGAATCTGTGTAATTTGTGGCTTAAGTATCTAAAGTAACATTGTCTTGAATTAGATTTTTTCCTCTCTCTCTTCTCTCTCCTCCCACCCCACCCAACACACACGCCTGATTCAATTAGGAGCCCCAAGCTATGTACCAGCCACGGCATTTCTTCAGAACGCTGGACAAGCTCACCTTATCAGCCAGTGTGAGCAATTGGAAGCAGAGGTCAGCTCTCTCCTACAGCAGCGACGTACCATCTTGCGTGGCTGTCTGGAACAGCTACACAGCTACGCTGCCGTCGCTCTGCAATATCCGAAAGCCGTTTTTCAGAAGCATAGGATGGAACAGTGGAAAACCTGGATGGAAGAATTAATCTGTGACATGACTGTGGAGCACTGTCAGGAACTGTACAGGAAGTGAGTACAAGACCATTTAGTTGGATTTGCTATTTAACTGAACTCGATGAGTTAATCGATTTGAGTTAGGGTAGCAGTAAGTGTACCTTTCTTGATCTCCAGGCCCTGTACTTGAGCATTCCTGGTGCCAACGGTCCAAGGTTACATGGCATCTTTTGTTTTGTCATTCCATTTCTTCTTTTTTAGTTCTTTAGCACCCAATGCAATTCACGTCGGGAGGACGTCCCAAGGCGCTGGAGAATCAGGGATTTGAACCCGTGCAGGGGTGCTTGGCATCAAGGTTGGAGGGAGCGGGGGGGGGGGCTAGGAGGGTGGTCGAAGGCGTCGAAGAGGAGGGTCTTGAGACGTGCCTTGGAGGAGGCGAAGGAGGGAGTGAGTCGAAGGGACTGTGGGATCGAGTTAGAAAGCGCAACTGTATTTGAGTATGCAAGCAAATGCCACGTCTGTAATTCTGTTCAATATAATTGTAGAAATGTATTTGATGAAACCTTGTGTGTGTCTGTTTATTTCAAGGTACGAGATACAGTATGCTCCCCAACAGCCAGCAGCTGTCTGCCAATTTGTAACTGCTACTGAAATGACACTACAGCATTTTGCTGCAGACATTAACAATCGGCTCATCAGACAAGTTGAACGCCTGAAGCAGGAGTCAGGAACATTACCAGTTTGTGAAGAACAGTTGAAGGAAATTGAACGCTGCATAAAGGTTTTCCTCCATGAAAATAGTGAAGAAGGATCCTTAAGTCTTGCAAGTGTTATAATCTCAGCCCTCTGTACATTAACCAGGTATGGACTATAGTCACTCATACCATAAATATTAATATCTGCTATTAAAGTCCTTGTGAAGTGCTAAATCCCAATAAGTACGATTTTAAAATTAATTTATCAGATAGAATGTTGTTTTATGCGGAAATATTCTTGCGGTTTTGTTTTCCCTTTGCTTGGTTTTGATTTAAAGGCAAAAATAACTGCCTCCATACTAAGGAAAAAATTTGTACATCGGTCTGTTAGGTTAAATGATGATAATAATAATCCTTGCATTTTTTTGAATGTATGAGCCATTTAAAGCAATTTTCTTCTATCTTATGCTTATTGCCTACAAATACAATCACTGCACTTCGCAGTAAAATCTTATGAAGCGCTTTGAGATGACTTGACGACGTGATAAGGCGCATTATCAAATGCAAGGATTATTGTTGTGCCTAAATTACTTGAGTAACATTTAACATTTAAGCGTGCAAATTATTCTCGTTTCATTATAGGCGTAACCTCATGATGGAAGGAGCTGCCTCCAGTGCTGGGGAACAGCTGGTTGATCTGACTTCCAGAGATGGTGCTTGGTTTTTGGAGGAGCTTTGCAGTATGAGCGGCAATGTTACTTGTCTTGTACAACTTCTTGAACAATGTCAGCTGGTTCCTCAGGACCTCGACATTCCAAACCCCAGGGAAGCATCTGAGGCGGTTTATTTAGCTAACGGAGTGTACACCTCTCTGCAGGTTAGTGACACGAAGGAACATCTTTCAGTTCCGATCTCTCGTCTCAACCAAGGAGTGAGTTTCTCCCCATCCCCACTGCTTTTCATGATCAGGGTTGAGAAGAGATAGCTTTGATTTGCATCTAGTGTGTCGATGATACAAACAAAGTACCGACCTCATGTGAAAGTTTCCTTTCTCCCTCATTAACGTCCTTCATCTTTTAAATTACTGTGTAGCTGGAACAATATTTTACAATGTCTTCATGTTTAGCTGTTGAGAGGCGGGACAGTGGGTTGGTTGGTTGGATGGGAGGGGCGGGCAATGTGAACTGGAGACAATTTGGCTGAATCCTATCTTGTCTATCCTGGATGTTCACATTTATTTATTTGTTTCTTTTATATAGCGCCTTTCACATCGGGAGGACGTCCCAAGACACTGAAAAGTGTACTTTATTTAAGGGGAATGGGCAATGATCAGAAGAAGGCAACCATTTTTTCCTTTCAAAACCAGCAGGTTGCAAGCTCATCCACTAATCTGTAGGATTATATGTTTCACTGCATTTTTAGTTGAACATTCTGCGTGGATAATTAATGTGGGTTTCAAGTGGATTCAAATGCTTGATGCTTTTACTGTTATCAAAACATATTGAGGTCTAACAGAGATAAACTTTCTACAGGAATTGAACACCAACTTCAGACAGATCATTTTTCCAGAAGCTCTTAGGTGTATGATGAAGGGAGAGAACACTTTGGAGAATATGCTCAAAGAACTCGATAATATTATTGAACAGACAACTGACGGGGTTTCTTTACAAATGCTCGTAGATTCTCTGCAGGCGTATCTGAGAAATGCTGCCATGGGAATGGAGGAGGAAACTAGTGCTCATTACGTTGATGTTACCAGGTGAATGAATAGTTTTCTAAAACTTTTAGCCCTGCACATCCTTCCGTTTTACAGAGCAGATATAGCATTGAATGTAACCACATGCAACTGACTGGTAGACACCAATTTCAAATTTAATTGTAGCTTGCAAGTTAAGTTTTTAAAAAAAAAAAAAAAAGAAATTCTTTTGACTTAAGGTAAGCATGGCCCACGTATGATTCTCAGCATTTGCATGTACATGTGTTATGTATTTATCAAGTGAATTCGTTATCTAAATCCTCTGGTATACTTTTTAGTTAGGTTCACTGAGCACTTATTACTTAAGTGCTTTTTTTTTCAATTTTATTTTCAGGAAATCTAGTCGATGACTTTTCTATAGATCCCAGAGCTTTTTATTTATAGGTGGAGTTTGACAATTATCTTTAGTTCGTCGATGAAAGGGATCATAAGCAATCAACTGATTTCTTGAAAAAGTTAATTGTTTAGATGAGGAGGTGTGTTAGGTATGTTATTTATTGGAGATTAAACAAAATGTAGTTGGAAAGGCAATTGCTGTGCAAAATAATCTTAATATTTTCTGTGGTGAATGTTAGTATTACCTAGTATAATTGCCCGGATAACATTTTTAAGATAGATTTGTTAGATTTGTGAATACAAGTCTTTTTTAAAGGCTTTCCATACTGAACTATTACGCAACTATTTTAGAATGCTACGCACTCAGTACACTGAATTAATTCAGCCGAGAAGTGTTGGTGGATCAGTGGAGGAGACCCCTAAAATGTCAGCTGGCCAGATGTTACTTGTGGCATTCGATGGAATGTTTGCCCAAGTAGAAAGTGCATTTGGTTTATTAATTGAAAAGGTATGTATATTTATGTTAATTTAAACCAAAATGATGGGTATATATAAATATTCTATTCACACTCTGGTAATATGTGTGCATACTAGTTCTGCTCATTCATTCCAATAGCAAGTTGCATTCTCATTATTATTATTGATTATTATCATTATTATTCCTCCTGAAGTGAACTTGTTTCAAACACAAGAATTGTCATTAACATTATCAGCACTAGAGTATTAAACTAGTTATGCTAAGATAATAAAAGCTTTTCATGCTATGTATGCACTATTCATCTAAGCAGTAATGTGGTTTGGCAATGAAAGCTCGTAACTTGTCAGCCCACTAAGTGCTTTTTGCTGTTATAGTTAAACAAGATGGAGGTACCCGTAGCTTGGAGGAAGATTGACATTATTAGGGAAGCCCGCAGCACCCAGGTCAACTTCTTTGATGACGATAATCACCGTCAAGTACTAGAAGAGATCTTTTTCCTTAAGAGATTGCAAACCATAAAGGAATTTTTCAGACTCTGCAGAACGTTTGCTCATACCTTATCAGGTAATTTTTTTTTAAAAAAAAGTGTCTCGCGGATACGGTTTTAACATAATTTGTGTATCTTGATTTGTCCTTTGTGTGTGTATATAAAAGAATAATGACGAGTTAAAATTATTGGTTTCATTTGGTCATTTTAATATAATCTAAAATAAAGCAGCTTCTACAACTGTAGATATTGGATGGTTTTATGTTAATCCTATCAACAATAGAAAGATCAGCACAATCTATATGAAATCTTCTTTACTATGTCTTTATGGCTGTGTTTGTAAGGTGTTGCCTATGTCCAGCAACAAGCTGCATTTTTAGGTTTGGTGTGGTAAAAGGGATTTGCTTTTTGGTACATTACTACTGCTTGGGATGTTTACTTATGGGTCAATATTCCGATCATACTAATGGGTGAGAATGGTTTTGTATTTAGAGAGTCTCTTTCAAGACTTCTAGCAAGTGGTGTTCTCGTTCGTCATCCACGTAATGATGTTTCAATTTATTTTCCAGGGATTATTCCACTGGATGATCCTAATTCGTTGAACGGTCCAGTGACACTGGTCAATGTGAAATCCATGTACAGAAGTTCTTGCTTCAGTGAAGATCAAACGGCTAAGCCAATAAAGGCTTTTACAGCAGACTTCGTAAGACAACTGTTGATTGGCTTGCCAACCCAGGCCCTTGGGTTAACACTTTGCAGTTACATCAGTGCTCTTGGTGTGGACATTATTGCTCAAGTGGAAGCCAAGGACTTTGGTGCTGAAAGTAAGGTCTCTGTGGACGACCTTTGTAAAAAAGCAGTGGAGCACAATATTCAAATTGGCCGTTTTTCACAGTTAGTTATGAACAGGGCCACTGTTCTGGCCAGTTCATACGACACTGCTTGGAAAAAACATGATCTGGTACGCAGATTAGAGACTAACATTGCGTCTTGTAAGACTTGTTTCCAGAGAGTGCAGATACAAATTGCCATGTTTCAGGTGAGCTTTTACATTGTATTCTTAATTTTACAGTGAAGCTATTTTCCTCCTCATCACTTTTTAATAATGCATGTTGTATAAATTGCATCACACAGAAATGTTTGTTGTCGCAAGTAAATTGTAAATTGATATCTGAGAAAGGTGTCTACTAATTACTGTAAAGACATTTTATTTTTGTTAATAGTTTACTGCAGCCATGAATGAATTAACCTGCTGCAGTTGAATACAGTATTAACAAAAATATTTGCAACATGTATCCAGAATCTTAACGTGTGGCTGTAATGTTATTTTACTGTCTTTCTCTCCCCTCCCCCCCCCCCCCCCCTCCCCCTCCACACACACAGTGGCAGCATGAAGATGTTCTTTTAAACAGAACTCAGCCCATGTCGACAGTTACTCCCCCACCTCGCTCAGGCATTTTGACCAACATGAAAAAGAAACTGCACACGCTCAGTCAGTTGGAGGTTTCTGTTGCTACAGTACAGGTAAACGAGGTTACAATCCAATCCACATCCTTGTCATCTGGTTCATGGAAACCTTGACCAGTACACACATAATTCTTTAGTCCAGATTATAATTGAAAAGTGGCATTTTATGACTCGATTCTGCACTATAAATTAGTGCTTGAATCTGGACTCGTTTGTCACCTTCCCCCTGGACTACTCAAAAGTACTTCTCGCCGGTCTCCCCAGCTCCTCTATTCAAAAGATCCAGCTAATTCAACAACAACTTGGATTTATACAGCGCCCTCCACGCCGGACGGAGTCTCAGAGCGCTTCACAGTAACGGATCCCAGGGGGCGGGGGAGGAAGGTGACCAAAGACGCTGTCAAAAAGAAAGGTCTTCAGCCGAGACCTGAAAATAGGAAGAGAGGAGGCCAGGCAAAGGGAGTGAGGAAGGGAATTGTAGAGCCTTTCTTACTTAGCGCCAATTTACTTAAGAGCCTGATTATAGCGCCTTTCAGGTTGGGAGGAATCCCCAAGGCGCTGGACAATGAAGGGTTTGCACCTGAGCTGCGGTTTCAGACTATCTAATCGATTGTATGCTCCGTAGGAGAAGCTGGCAGCATTGGAAGCTAGCATTGAACAACGCTTGAAGTGGGCTGGTGGAGCCAATCCAGCTCTGGCACCTGTTCTGCAAGATTTTGAAGCTACCATCACTGAGAGAAGGAATATGGTGCTGAAAGAAAGCCAGAGGACAAACCAAGTAAGAATCACCTCATTAGCTCAATGCAGTTGCACATTCTGTTGGAACTTTGCCTGGAATGTTTTTGACATTGCTTGTTGGTCAGCTATACACCTTTAGTAACAACAACAAGATTTCATTTGTATAGGGCCTTTCATGTCGGGAGGACTTCTGAAAGGCGCTGGACAGTGTACAGCATTTCAGACCCGAGCTGCGGTCAGGAGGGGGAGAAGGGAGGGGAAGGGGGGTGGCCGCTGACATGGTCGAAGAGGAGGGTCTTGAGGCGGGACTTGAAGGAGGGGGCGAGGCGGAGTGACTGGGGGATAGAATTACAGAGGTTGAGGGCAGAGTGGCTGAAGGCTCTCCCGCCAATGGTGGGTCAGGGGACGTGGAGCAGCCAGAGCCGGCTGTACGGAGGGAGCGTGCGGGTTGATAGAGGGTTAGAAGGTCGCAGAGGTAGGGTGGGGCGAGGCCATGGAGGGCTTTGTATGTGAGGACCAGGATCTTGAACTGGATCCTCTGGTGAGGACCAGGATCTTGAACTGGATCCTCTGGAGGAGTTGGGCGAGAGTGGGGGAGATGGGGTCACGGAGTTTGGTGCGGGAGAGGACACGGGCTGCAGAGTTCTGGATTATCTGCAGCCTGTGGAGGGAGGAGTTGGGAAGGCCGACAAGCAGGACGTCTACATAGTCGAGCCTGGAGGTGATGAAGGCATGAACAAGAGTTTCAGTGGCCTGAGGGATGAGGTAGTGGCGGAGTCGGGCGATGTTACGGAGGTGAGGGAAGGCAGAGCGGGTCATGGGTTGAATGTGGGGAAGATAAGACAGTTGAGGGTCGAACAAAACACCTAGATACAAATTGTTCTAGTCACAGCACTGGCATCTTTCACCTTAATAAGCAAAAAAAAATCACCTGAGTAAATTAAAAAATTGGTTTAAAGCATTTATTTTAAAGACCATCTTGTAGTTGTTTGTATAACCTTTGATTAGTATATGTGAAATGAACATGGTGAAATGAAGGTCAGAACGTAGATTTTGGGATGACTTTCACTTCATCATTTCTGATGTTTTCATTATCCTAGGTGACTTTCCTCTGCAGCACAATACTGCACTTTGAGAGTCTGCGCACTCGGACAGCAGAAGCTTTAAATTTGGACGCAGCATTGTTTGAGCTGATCAAGCGTTGCCAACAGATGTGTTCGTTTGCCTCACAGTTTAGCAGTTCAGTCTCTGATCTTGAACTGCGGCTGCTTCAGAGACTGGTGGGTTCATAATACTGTGTGTGCACTATTTTGTATAGGATAGAATATTACAGCACTCGTTAATTGCGTTCATTCCCATGGGTTGCTTCTAAGCTGTTTTTATTTATTTGATAATGAAGTCCCTGCATTAAGTACAGAAGGATGTTTATCGTTGTAGATGGGTGTGACAAATACCTCAAAGGCAACATAAATTCAGATCACATTGGCCTATGCTGCAAATCATTCCAAGAGCTTTTTGTTACCGCACAAACGAGTTGCACGTACAATGACGAATTGCCACTGATTAGTGCAGCACCAGCTGAGTTTGAGATTCATGTTTCACAGATTGGTTGATGTAAAAAGAATCTAATTTCTGGAGGCCACATGTCCACTCATGAAACATTTAGCGGTGGATGTAGGACAGCACTGTCTTGGTTTATATCTTAATGAATTCCTGAAATGCAGACTAATACTAATAATACTAGAGAAATATCATGTGCATTTTGATTGCTACTTGTGAATATGTTTTTAAAGAGTCGTAATTTGCTCCCGATATTGAGCACCAGTTTAATTTGCGAGTTTTTTTTCTCCTAGGCTACCAGTCTCGAACATTCAATAGGAAGTACTGAATGGCTGTCTGGCGCTCACAAGCAGCTGACTCAGGAGATGTCAACTCAGAGGGCAGTGCAGGCTGAGAAAGAACAGCAGATCGAATCTGTCTGTGAAACGATACAAACTTTGGTGGATAATATTAAAACTGTGCTCACTGGGCATAACAAGCTGCTGGCTGATGTTAAACATCTTCTCAAAGCCATGGCAAAGGTAATAACTAATCCACTTGTTTCTTAGTGTTGGTCTGAAATTTGACATTTGGGAGCTAGGTAATCCTTAGAAATTTGCCTTCATTTGTTTTTATCTGTCAGATCCAGAAATTGAATTATCTGGATATTTTAAATCTCAAAAGGTTTACTTTAATGTTTGTGTGGAGTACATTTTAGCCAAGTTTCAATATATTTATGCATTTTCTTCAATGTTGTGCTAAACAGTAAACACTTGCACCTGCACAGCAGTTTTCATGTAGGAAACGTCTCCGAATGCTTCACGTAGATGGGTGGGAGCCTGATCAGATAGGAGATAGGGAGGGAGGTGAACAAAGGTTGTTTTTTTTTATAAGGGTTTTTAAAAGCAGGGAGAGTGTGTGTGGTGTTCCAAAGAACAGAGGTTATTTAAAGCACTGACAGCAGTGGTCTTGGAGTGGAACCAGGAAAGCGAGGAGTTAGATCAGAGGAGAGACAGTGGAAAACGTTGGAGTGCTTGACAGTGATGAAGGATGTGAAGAGGTCAAGGACTTTTTACGAGGCCCTGAGAGGATATTATTGGTGGCCGTTGAACCAGATCAGATGTACTCGTACAGAGAGGGAGGTGATAACCTGTTCCAGTAACACAGAGCAGGTGCTAACAGATTGGGTGATGGATTATATATTTTTTTAAGAAGCTAAATCCTGATGTGTTTGTATAGGGTTGTTCCGTTGCTGGCTGTACATGTTCCTATTCTACAGCAAAAATTGAAGGACTAGTGCAAAAAAAAATTGCTTTCTTAACTGTTGATGTTGCTGCTTTAGGATGAAGAAGCGGCCTTAGGAGACAATGAAGAGGTTCCCTACGAGGACAGTGTGCGTCAATTCTTGGCCGAGTATAAATCCTGGCAGGATAACATCCAAACAGTGTTGTTCACAATAGTCCAGGCCATGGGGCAGGTGCGAAGCCAGGAACATGTGGAAATGCTGCAAGAGATCACTCCAACTCTGAAGGAAATGAAATCTCAAAGCCAAAAGTAAGTCATTGTGTTGTGTTCACTGTTTAGTTCTGAGCCATCAAGACCAGTGGGTCAAAGGAATCTTCTTTGGAAAAAAAGCCATCTTTGGCATTGCAGTCAGGAGCAATTCTCAGACACGCACTTTTTTTAAGCCTGAGAAATTTCTCCAGGAGTTTATTTCACTTGCGTGCACTTGCATGCATGTTACACAACCTGTCAATTATGACTTGAGAGAAACCTTTTGTATTCAGCCGATTACAGCTTTGTGTTGATCGTTAACTTTTCTTTCAGTATCTACAATGATCTGGTCAGCTTTGCGTCACCACTGGTCACAGATAAGTCGAATGAATGTTCAAGCCCAACTTCTGCCTCTGCGTTTCAGCCCACTTTTGCTGCAGGTAAATGTTTATAGGTTGCTGTCCTAGGAATTTATTTTTTTAAACCAATGCAAACACTTAACCTTGAACCAATGGACCTTGGTTTTTAATCTCTCGCCAGCCGTTCGCAGCAATACTACTCAAAAGACTCAGCCTGAAGTTATGTCACAAAATACACGAAAGATGGCCCCGAGAAATCTCGCTGCCTCAGCAAACACTCCACCAGGCACAACCACAGCACCTGGAAAGAATGTTGCCCCAAGTCCTAAAAAGGCAGTGAGGGACCCAAAGACCGGAAAAGGTAAACCATTTACATTAGTAACTAGTTAAATTAGTCAACTTAAAATTATTATTAATAAAAGGTGTGGGGGGATTCTAGTTGTTTGCACTTTTATCTTCATAATCAGGAATGTTGTAAAAATCAGTTGTGTAGCTCACAAAGGTCACATTTCCTGAACTATAACATATATAATTGTGTATTTTCAGCTGTTCAGGAGCGGAATTCCTATGCTGTTAGTGTGTGGAAAAGGGTGAAGGCCAAATTGGAAGGCAGAGATGTGGACCCCAACAGGAGGATGACTGTTGCTGAGCAGGTACAATTATATCACTATACTTTGTCTCTCACCATAATCTTTTATTTGACCGAAAACCATGTACAATAGCTATTAAGATTTGTTAGTGCTATAGAACCTGAACTTTAACAGTCATCTATCTGCTCATCCCTCATCCGTCACTACTTAAACCATTGCACGTGAAGCAAGCTAGAAATTCTCACGTGGCAAATTCTTGCTTACAGCTGTGTATGTCGTTGTTGGAGGGAGGTACCAAACACAGGCAATGTGCCTCTATAATGAATTATCTATTGTGACTTCGAATTAATTTTTGCGAGTAAGAGAAGAAAGAAAATAATATTTTTAATATAGAAAGAATATCGAATTCAAGATTTGCTTCTGCTGAGAACAGTTGAAAACCAGTGTGATCGATTTCCCGAAGCTGCTGTAGATTGCTTCCAATATTAATGTTTGCTTTTATTTTTATTTATGTGGCTGTCCCAGTGCTAAATTTTGTTGCGACTATTTGAAATTGCAAATTTTAGCAATGTATGAGATTATTACATATTTGGAAAAAATTTAAGTCTTAGTAAATTGCCTTTGAAATGTTTTTGAGAAAGGGCAAATTTAATGCAACTTTCTGAATATTCCTCATTACTAGAAATCCGTTTAGATTTATCCTGTGGGTATTTTAGGATCCTTTCAGTTGCAAACTATATTGATGTTTCATTTAAATTGAAGCAAATGTATTAACAAGCGAGTAATTCTCTTTTCTTTTTTAACCACATCAAATTTCATAGGTTGATTTTGTGATTAAAGAAGCAACTAATCTAGATAACTTGGCTCAACTGTATGAAGGTTGGACAGCGTGGGTGTGAACTAGAAAACAGTGGATCACTCTGGTTCAATGAGCAACGAGGTCAGGCATCCACCAGAATCAACTCGGCCACAGGCATTCATAGCCGCACCATGGCAGGCGTTGATGCATTCTGGGGCTTAATCTGAGGTAATCTAGGAATCCCTGTGCATTTCGGAGTGATTAGTCAGAAGGCTGCACTCAGGGATATGCTTAATACAATGGTCTGCACCCCAAGGTGAAGGGCCAACAGCGCCCAGTATGAATCACACGATTGTCTTTCTGTCACACCAAGAACAGCAGAAGTACCGAGGGCGTAGGTGCAGAAGCGAATGCTGTCCTGCTGAGTACAAAGTGATTTGAAATCCTAAATTCCATCAAGCCCCTGTGAACATTTCGGGTCACAAAGTATTAAATCCTGTTTGAAAGGTAAATTTAGAAAAACCGGGGCCGTAAAGAAATCTATTTCAGCAGTTCCCCAGACACGTGATTCCAGTTGGATAACTCCTTCAATGGCTGGCTTGCCCCTGAAGATGGCCATCCAGTAAGAAAACAAGGCTGGGAGAAACTATGGACTCCACAAACAGCCCCCAAAATCCCAATAGATTGGATATACTACATGGAACTTGTGTGAGGAAGATGACACCACCCTGATATCTTTTTTTTAAAAAAAAAAGCTTTCTCTTATAGGTGTAAGCTAGTTTAGAGAAGTGCTTCTCAGATGCTTGTAATTCTGTTTACTGTGATTGGAATTCAGTAGTAGTTATCAACCATTTTAAATGTAAACATTTTGCAATGTACACAATCTGAAAGACTACATCAAAGCATTGACCGAGATTATTGGTAAAGTTGAAGGGTTGGGTGGTGTTTCCATGCATACACTATAAAGTGCTTTTTCTCCTCCTGTTTTGTTACTTGGAAATAAAAGGTCATGGGTATTTTTGTGTAACTTCATCATGCAGTTTTTGACATTTGTACGAATAAAACTTGGAATAAATCCTCAAAAATGTATTTGAAAGTGACACACCATGACCAGATAAGTGTTTTTTTAATTGACCTCCCCTCTCCTATTTGCTTCCTTTCACTTGTGTGCTTTGCCCTTTGCTCTGATCTTTCTTGATGCATATCTTGCAGGGATATTTTTGAATACACCTATATACGTCCCTTTAACATTGCATTTCTTTATCCCATTATACTTGCTTTTTCTTTCCTTCTAACTTGTACTTTTCTTTCTTTCTGACCTCTCTCTACCCCCCCCCAAAAAAAAAAGATCGCTGGTGTGTTCTGTAGTTTTCTGTGATTCATCATTTTCATAAATGCTTTGGGAAAGTTGCTTTGGACATTATAAAATGCAATAAAAATGATGAAGATTGAAGTTTCTTTGGTATATTAAAGTACATCCTTATCCATATTGTACCAGACTTATTTTTAGTAGTGTAGCTTCCTAGCTGTATTTTTCATCTCGCTGGCAAAAGTAATTAGAGGTTTTTTTTTGGTGGAGGTATATGGTGTGTGGAACTTTTTTTTAAAATTCAAAACCCGGATGGCTTCACGTTAAGTAAAATCATTCTTCAGCATTGTACAGGTTAATGTGAAAAGCATGAAATCATACATAAATGTCACTTCATTATTTGACTGCAAGAATCCATTTTTGGATCTGTTGTTCTTTATTGTAACTTAAACTTGGATAGTACATTTTAATAATACTCGGAAGGAAGACAATCCCCTTCCCCTCCACAAAAAAAAACACCCTGCCTTCAGCCCACATCACTATGCTGTTCTCTGAATAGAGGGCAACAATGCGCCAGACCTCCTTTGGAACGGCCGTCAGCAAGATGAGATGAATCTCCCTGCTAACTTCCACCTACAGAACCCCGATGTAGTGATCTGGCCAAAAAATGTGTCAAATTCACCCATACAAATTAAACTTTTGGAATTGTGATTCTAATCCCAATCCTCTGAATGTGACTCCACCATGTTTGTAGTAGCTATTGAGCAATCGGTAAAATAATATTACATCCTGATGAATGCAATTACTGTTTTTACCGAGTTACCAATGTGTAAATCCAAATTTTGCATTTTAGGGGACGTAGGAGAAAAATGAATGGGAAATTGTGTATTGGATACCTGTACTTGGACATGAATCCCGCTTGTGTTTGCGTGTGTTTCAGGCTCAACTAATTAAAATAAAATATTGTACTGCCACAAGTTTAATCCAGGACAGATGTGCCAATAAAGTTATTACATTCATGTGGTGTTCATGTTGTTGACACAATTTTTCTCCTTGCTGGCTCTCAAAAAACACGCATAAGGGATGGCAGAGACTTCTTAATGTGTTAAAAGATTACCATAACTGGCCTTTCTGATAGTCCAGTTGTTGAAAACACTCTCGTACAGCACAAACTATACAAAGTATAGTTAGCTGACCTCAGTTTACAGGAGTACTCTGAGCTCGCATTTGATATACCTGTATTGCCTGATGTCAAGGCATCTCAAAGTGCTTCACAGGCTATACTGTAAAGTGATGTGACTGTTTCAACTACTAACTGCAACGAACTGAATGAGCAAGTGGTAGTTGCTCTCAATTTAGTACATGGCTGCTCGTTGACGTGGTAGGTATCCCATTGGTTCCGTCTTTCCTTCAACCTAACTCTGGTGTAATACTACACCATTGTTGAGTGCTGTATTGTTTCAGTACTCTGAAATTCTACCCGGGGTGACGGGTACTGTATAAATGCAAGTTATTGAACGAGTCGACTGCTGAATCAGGGCGTGGAATTGCCTGAAACTCTCAAGTGATGGCCGACTAATGCACAACTCGAGAGCGTGAAGTTGGAGCAGACGTAACGTGGCAGCACGTTTATCAACCGCAGAGCCTGTTGTGACGGTGCCTTCGGTCACCCTCCTACTCCCACCGACCTTCCCTGAGCCTCCGACCCTCCTCATCCCAACCCTCAGCTCGGGCCTAACGGTCCAGTGCCTTGGGAACGTCCCTCCCAACAACAACAACAACAACAACTCCCGAACGCGAAAGGAGCCGTTGGCCGGTCTGTGATGGTTGTCCGGCGGGGCTCTGCCTGGTCATCAAAGCGACCGATCGGGTTTGTCGAACCCGGGGGGGGAGCTGCCGGGTGGGGGTGAGGGGGTGAGGGGGTGGGGGGGCGACTTGGGGCTGAGCTTCAATCTGTTGCCCTTCCAGTGGGTTTCCAGTTGAGAAGATGCACCTGATGGGGGGGGGGGGGCAATGGGGGCGGGGCTGAGCTCGGCGTGGCCCCGCCCCCTTCCCTTCACGCACGCACGCACGCACGCACGCACGTCCGTCGAGATCAGCCAACCCGAGCAGTCGAGACGAGTCTCTCCGTGGCGCAGAAACTAGCCAATGAGAGGAGGCGGCGCAGCTGACGGGTCACCGGTGGATGATCCAATGGGAGGCGAGGCACGGTTCCGCGCAGCCAAACAGAAGGAGGCGAGACAAAGGGGCAGAGGCAGACCAATAGGAGGAGGCGAGAGAAGAAAAAAAAGCCCGCCCCCCCCGCCCCACCCACCTCCACCACCGTGCGCGGAGGCTAACCAATCAGCGGAGGCGAGACAAAGAGTCCGCGCTCGCGCGCGCGCGCACAGGCAGAGGCGTGCCAATCAGAAAAGAGGAGGGCGAGTCCCGGTCCCGCGCGCCGCCCCGCCCCGCCCCGCCCCGAGACAGACCAATAGAGAGCGGCGAGACAAAAAAAAAAAGTCCGCACGCGCAAGGGCAACCAATAGGAGGCGGCGAGACGAGAGTCCGCGCAAGGCGAGCGGCCAATCGGAGGCCCGGGGTCGGTGCGCGTACAACAGCGGGCGCCAGTTGTCGGGGCTGAGCCGCGCGAGAGGGAGAGAGAGAGGAGCCGCAGGGAGTCGAGGGGGAGGGGGGCAGCAGCCAACTGCAGAGCGGCCGCCACAGGAGATTGGTGTGTGAGTGAGTGAGTGTGAGAGAGACAGACAGACAGACAGAGGGCGAGAGGCAGAGCCATGGCGAGCGGGGAAGGAGACAACAGGAGCACCAACTTACTGGTGAGTCCGTCACCGGGGCCTCCTGACCCTCGGGGCCGCACCTCCGGGTGGCTCCGGCCGCTCGGGGCCCTCTTGTGAAAGGTTATTGCGGGTATCGGGTGGTGGTGGGGGGGGAGAGGCTCCCGGGCTCGGGCTCCCGCCTCAGGGCGGGGAGGGGAGGCTGTTACCTCTCACCGAGTTCAGTGATGGCCGGAGGGAGGGGGTGAGGGAGGGGGTGAGGCTGCCGTTCCGAGTGTCCCCATTCGTGTCCCATCTTTTTAAACCGGGGGCCGGTTACAGGCCGCTCCTCCCCCCCCCCCCCCACTCCCTCCCCTCCCTCCCCCCTCCTCCCTCCCCCACTCCCTCCTCATGGGCCGGCGCCGCCTTATCGGCCCGGGCCCTCATGTGGGGCCTACAAACCTTTTCCCCCTCCCCACACCCCCCCCCCCCCACACACACACACCACACCCTCCCGACCCCGACCCCATTGTTCCGATTAATTTCCACCATCGCCATCTCTTTAATGTTGATCTTATATATTTTTTTGAGGGGAGAGAGAGAAAGAGAGAGAGAGAAGACCCGAATTGTCTTTATATATAAAGAGAGAGAGAGAGAGAAGACCCGAATTGTCTTTATATATAAAGAGAGAGAGAGAGAAGACCCGAATTGTCTTTATATAGAAAGAGAGAGAGAGAGAGAAGACCCGAATTGTCTTTCTATATAAAAAGGGAGAGAGAGAGAGAGAGAGGTCGCGTTGGTATTTCGACACGAAGACGCGCACAGCCTAAAGATGGCCCCCGCCTTGTGAACCAACCCCAACTCGTGTGAATTGATCCCTCGTTACAACACCAGTCTCATTGGGAGGGATGGGGGAGGGGGGGAGGAGGGAATGTAATGGGGGTGTTGAGGGAGGGGGAGGGGTGGGGGTGTTGAGGGAGGGGGAGGGGTGGGGGGTGTTGCTGGAGGAGAGAGGTATTGATGATTTGGCGAAGGGAAGGAAATCGTTTTGCCACAAATAACGCAGTCGTGAAAAGTCGCCCCCGTGACATGTTCATTTCTCTCTTTTTTTTTGGTGGGGGGGAAGGGGGAAAAAAAACCAGAATCCCCCCCCCCCTCCTGCTCGCGCGCTGCGAGGGGGGGGGGTCTTGAAATGTGGTTCCCGGGGTCCCCTGTTAACACGCCGCACCTCTTCTTGACGATCGTGGTCTTGTTGTTCGGTATTGACCCGAAGGCAGGGTGGAGGCGATGGTGGCGCATTACACAAGGCTGTGTTTTTCTTCTCTAAAATTCTCGGCGGTCGGGGGGAGGGTCCGCGTTCGGTGTGAGATAAAATACTTCGCTTCGGGGCAAATGTCCGTAATTGGCTGAATATTGACGGGGAATGGCTGGTAACGATGATTTGCATTCTGCCACTGAAGAACGACGTCACTCTGCGTTCGCTGCTGCTTAATTGACTGGCGGGAGTTATTCTGGGCGGGGTGTGGCTCTTGGGATAATTCATCTGATTCTCGGTGTTTTACAAAAGCATGTAGACCTGTAAGGAATAAAAGAGCAGCGCAGAGTCTGCAGACTTTCCAGATCGACTAGACAAGGGGTTGAAATCTTGCATAAACAAACGAGTGAAACTTGGCCGGAATCACCTACATCATGTCAACTCCCAAGCTCTTGCTGTTTTTGATCGCACTGGAAGTGCCGTTCTTTATGCTGTATAGAAATATACAAGTTTCTCACCATTTACCACCTCTGTTAGGAATACACTGATATTGAGATTTTTGTCTGATCCTAAAAAAAATACAAGCTTCAATACACATTATGTCACGTTTCAAGGGACAACTATGTTTTTTTTCTTAACTGTGACTTAAAGAGGAGCCCTTCCTAAATGTGTATAACCCTCGAACAAAATTGGAATAGATATATTACCATTTTATCGTAAAGTAGTACAATTCAGTCCTGCCGAGCTTGTAAAATTCTCTAAAGGTACAAAGTCTCCTTCTGAATGCTGATGCAGTGAAAAAAAATCTGACTATAAATATTTGAATTGTGTTTGCAGCTTTAACACTTAGTGGAGACATATTAATCCAGCTGCTTTGCAGTTGGTTGCCTGAAGTGTAATCTCTCCAGACTTAAATAGTTGGTTCTTTTGACCTTTGTGATAGGCTGCTGTGGTTTTAGCTAAGTCTGCCGACGTTAATCCCCCTGCCCTTCCACCGCCACCCCAAAATAGGAAAAGCTATACAGCTGATTCGCTTGTTTAACAATCAAATTTACCAAGAGTGCAAGACTTGGAACTACTGTAAGGCATTGTGCCTTGAGCCCATATCTCATCTGGTGGAAAAGTCACACTCATTCACAGAATTGTAAATTTACAAGATTGCTCCTCTCCACCTCTGCTTTTTTTTTGAAAAAGCGATTGATATGAGTTATCTCTGGCTTTTGTTTTATTTTTTGCTAGTCTTATCTTAAGGTTCAGGTGATGTCATAAACTGAGTGGTGAGGCAGTTTGACATAAGCTGCCCTTCAAATCATGGGATGGGAATGCAGCCTTAAAAGTACAACTCCTGACATTCAGGAGTGTGGTATCCACACCGAACAGTTAATAATTGTGCCTCGATTATTCAAAAAGGCAATTATACACAGTTGGTTGCTAGCAAATATTCAGTGCATTTAATTTCAGTTTTGAAAGGAGAGAGTACTTATCAGTTATTCAGTTGGTCAATCCCGATTATGTTGACATCACTAGATTGTGTGCTCTATCCTTCTGTTGTAATTTAGCCCCAGTTATAAAGATGTTTGTCACAGAGTATTAACGTAACAATCACTGTGATGTCTTTTCTCAGGCTGCAGAAACTGCACAACTTGAGGAGCACTTGGAGGGATGGGGAGAGGTTATGTTGGCAACAGATCATGTATTGCGATGGGAAAAGGCCTGGCTCCCTGCTGTGATGATGGTTGCGGTGTCAATGGTATTCCTGTAAGTATTTATACAGTTGGACTGGTCTCAGGTGCCTTGCAAATTTGTGAATATCAGCCATACTAATGAAGTGTCAAAGCTGATGAAATATTAATATGACAAGTTGAAATGTCGTCAAAGGCTACCTTAATTTAGTGAATGACCTTATTAATAATTTGTGGCCTGAAAATTTCAGAATTGTAGTTGGAAATAATTTTATAAGCATCTTTATAAGAGTGTTTTGCCCCCAAAATATACAGCCACTTCACTTTTTACAGTATATTATGTGAAGCGCTTTGAGCGGTCTCGAAGACATGATAAGGTGTTATATCAAACGCAAGGATTATTATTATCTCATTTTCTGCTTTTCTTCTCGAGTCTTTAATATGCAGCTCTGTTCTCAGTGGTTTGGTCCATAAATTCAGGCCTGCATTAAAACGGGCCACGGCGTAAAAATGAGTGAATCAGCACTTCCAGCTTGTCAGGTCGTTTCTGGTGTCATTTCTACTATGCGGGATAGCAGGCAGCTGCTCGCACGAGGGATTCCAGCAGGGATTGCTATATCGTGACCTTGGGATTGAAATTATATCCTCCTCATATTGTTGAGGGATACAAATTTGGGACATCAACTGATCTGCCCGACTGTGGGCCAGTTCCGTACACAGCGCGATGCAAATATCCACAGTCAAGCAGTTGCAAAAGCTTATGAAGATGCTGAACCTTCGAAATTTGTTAGTAGTCTAAAGCGATATGGTTCGGGTAAAGGCGAGCAGGTTAATCACTTTCCTATTTATAGGGATTAGTCCTGGTTCTGGTACTCCCAGGTTTCCGATCTCGTTTGCAACAGTGGAAAAGATGCTGTTTCAGTGGATTTTAGGTTTTGTTCCTCCCCACTGCCTCGGCGATCTTCTAAAATGTTAACGTTTTAGTAGACCGAAATGTTTCGACTCCGATGAGGGAAGACAGATTATCTGGTTGGGTCTTCACGCTTGCGTGTTCTGTAGATGGTCTTTTCACAAGCCGATGTGTAATACTATATGGTGTGAATTCCCTTTTCCTATATTTGCTGACCAGTTGCTCTGCTACCTACTTTCCAGTTGTCATTCATGTGCGTCAATGCGGTAGTTTGAGGGCAGCTTCAGCATCGCAACATGTGATAGGGAACTGACTGTTGGTGTTATTTCATAGAAACTGTTGCAAAAGCTCCAGCTTCCCTTTCCTCTCTCCCCTGTTGAGGAAACTTCTAAAAGTGCCTTTGTTTTTAAAGAAAAAGTAATGCTGACATGCAATGTATCCCTCTCGCGTGACAGTAGCGGTTTAATGTACACACAGAACACGAAGGTCCGTGCCTTTGTCACCTCTCGGCTGGACTATTCTCACGCCCTCCTCGCCAGTCTCCCATCCACTACCATCCAGAAAATCCAGATTATTCAAAACTCTGCCGCCTGCATTCTCACCCGCACCAAACTCGGCTCCTCCATTACCCCAGTCCTGGCCAGACTGCACTGGCTGCCTGTCCCAGAGAGGATCGACTTCAAGATCCTCACCCTTGTCTTCAAATACCTCCACTCCTCTGCACCCCCCGACCTCTCTGAGCTCCTCTCTCCTCAAAACAGTGCCCGTTGCCTTCGTTCCTCCGGGTCTGGCCTCCTCCTTGTCCCCCGAGTCCTCCGCTCCACCCTCGGTGGCCGTGCCTTCAGCCCCTATGCCCCGAGGCTCGGGAACTCCCTTCCTCTCGCCCCCTCTCTTCCCATTTTCGGGTCTCTGCTGAAGACCTTGATTTTCGACCGCGCCTTTGGTCACCTTCCTCCCCACCGCTCGGTCCCAGGATCCGAAACTGTAAAGCGCTCTGAGACGCCATCCGGCGTGGAGGGCGCTGTATAAATCCAAGCTGCGAATATGGCTGTATTAATCCTGAGCGGGGGTTTGGGGGTTAACAGCAGGACAAACAATAGTTCAGATTCTTTTTCCACATATGGGACTAGGTCTGCAGTAAGCAGGCATACGCTTTTGATCTGTTGTGCACAATTGGCTGCTGCGTTTTGTCCGCAAAATATACAATCAATTCACTTTATATTTATATTCTGCGAAGCACTTTTGAGATGTCTGGAAAGCGTGATAAGGTGCAATATCAAATGCAAGGATTGTTGTTATTTCTTCCATGATTCGAGCTGAAGAAGCAGGAAGGAAGGCTGTTCTTTCGTTGTTAACTTGATTTGTCCTCAAGCTCCTTGAGGTCTAAATACAGAACTGCTTCCCACCACCAGTGCCTGTGTTAGTGCATTTTATAAAGAATCACTTTACATGAAAATAAAGAGTATGATTCAGTTTTCTTTGTATTCTTTTATTCCTGCAACTAATCCTGCATTGTCAGCTTATTCTAGAACTCTTTAAATTCAGCTTTTTGGATGCAAGTTCTCTCTTCCATCTTACAGCACGATGCTAATCTTTTAACTTGAGGAATCATTAAAATTGTAAGGGATACATTCAATATACAGCAAACTACTGATAACTCGTCACCACAAGGGAAGAGGACTCGGGGTCATATGTGTAAATATATAAATAAATGCGGCTGAGAAATTGACGGCATGATGGCTTGTGGTCGTGACAAATTCTATTAGTGACTGGTACATAATTGTTCGCAATTGTAGGTTTTGTGCAGATGTCAGTAAAGACAAACAGGTGTCTGGTGGTGGGGGCATACAATCTGGGCGGCTGTTTGAGAATAGTGTAGAAACAGAATCTCTTGTGCAGAGATGAATGAGGTTTCTGAGGCCAAGATGCCTAATATGGTTTATGTCCTTTGCATTCCAGGGACACTGTTGTTGATTAACCAACCTGCCTGGTTTATCATCGGGGGCGGGAAAAATGCACTAATGAGTGATCCTATTCCTTAGTTTACCACTGCCTCCTACTGGCAAAATGGATAGTTCCAGTTGGTGAAATTCCACCAGTAATGAAATGTACACTCAGCATTGAATGCTTGGTTTCTAGTAAGCATTGCATTTATTTTCTGAGCATAAGTAAATGACAAATTGCAGAGCTGGGAAAGAAGAACATGTCTTTGGTGAAGTCTTAGCAGCTTGAAATGTTGTTTTTAAATGTCACATAAAGCCATGGTGTTGGAGATGATAAATGAACCGTTGCATCTTCCGAATAAGGAAGGGTTTCTCGAAGAAATCTTCCATGAGTTTTATCTGATGTACGAGTTATGGTTTCTCCTTTGCACACTGTGCAAGAGTGTTGGAACTTTTGGTTTCTTGTCAAACATTGCAAGATTTAACGTTGGCCCAAGTTATACAGCCAAAAAAGGCAAGTCATCATAAAATCTGATGTATTCTGGTGAATGTGTTTGTAGAAGCTTGATAACGAATAGGGATACTGCAGATTCCAGAACAGAAAGAAGACAGATAGAGATGGAAGAGCTGAGGGGTACAGTAATGCAAATTGGGTAGCTTTACACTCCTAGCTGTTTATATAAGCACATTCCTTTGATTAAGTAGCTCAAAAGCTTCTCGCTAAAATAGGTTTTCTGGTATTTAGGTAAGTGCGATAATGTGTGTTAGAAGGGGTACGCTGTAATGACTTCCGATTGAGCCTTGCAGCAGCACATTATCTCGAGGCTGCTAACTGTATACATTAACATTTTTTCATGGATGTGGAATACTATTCACGGTACAGAATAAATTTACCATTAATGGTCTTAAATCATGATCTTCTTTTGTAGGCTAATCTACTGGTTGGACCCATCAGTGCTGACTGGCGTGTCGTGTGCTATCATGTTGATCTGTTTGGCAGATTACCTTGTCCCAACCATTGCTTCTCGGATCTTTGGTTCCAATAAATGGTGAGAATTTCAAAAACAGCAGGGAATGTCAATAGTTTTTTTTATTCTTCCTTTTGTTTTCTCTTCCTTCTCTCCCCCACCCTTAAAAATTGATATTTTTACTTGCTATTGAAGGATTACGCCTATTTTTGACTTGAAAGTTAGAATGTCTTTTTTCTAAATTATTTTCGAACAAAAGATCTAATCCAAAGATTGGCACCTCACAAGCAGCAGATCCTCAGTGTTGTTATGTGGCAAGCGGCAGAGCACTTTCCCACATAAATATAATGAGCAGATGACTTTCTAGTCTGTTTAGAATTGCATTTCTACTTATTCCAAACTTGCGTTGCCTCTTTTTTTCCTCTATTGCTTTCCCCATACCATAACCCATTTGTAACTGTTGGAAGTTAACCACAGAACATTCACACGCGCAGCTCTGAAAGTTTTAAATTCTCAACTTGGGTCAACAGGACCACAGAGCAACAGCAGCGATTCCACGAGATCTGCAGTAACTTGGTAAAGACCCAGCGTAGGATTGTGGGCTGGTGGCGGCGTGTCTTTGCACTGAAGGAAGAGAAGCCCAAAATGGTACCGTACATCCAAACTACCTGTGTTGTGTGTATGTGGGGGGGGATTTTAATAATCATTCATTTTGGCAAGACGAGTGTTCAGTTTGGCTGCAGTACACTGGGGCATCAGCGTATTGTGCAGCAGAAGTCAAAGAGTTTACGTGGGAGAGATTAATCTAGTCTTTTTCTTGTTGACTTTTTTTCCCCATTATTTGGGGGAAGTTTTTTTTTCCCACTAAATAATATTTCAGTTAACAGAAATGTGCCCACTGGTGAGTCTACCGGTGGCCGATCAGACCAGTCAACCTGACTGATGGTGCTGTAGGGAAAGCTACAGTATTTCCTAGTCTCCAAATGCCCTTCAGCATCAACTGTCAGATGAGACGATCCGATACGGTGAACAACTCTCAAAAACAGAAGTTATTTTACCAGTTGTGGTAACTTGCTAATCATTTTTTTCCTTATTTTAGTATTTCATAACCGTGGTCAGTGTTCTATCTGTGGTGGCTTGGATTGGGCAACAGGTTCACAATCTCTTCCTTACTTATCTGATTGGTAAGTTCACAGCAACTCGCAATGATAAAGCTCCCTTCGCGTAGGCTAGCACCTCGGAGAGCTTAACGGTGGTGGAGCCTGAGGCTGAGCCGGGGAGGGGGGGGGAAGGGAGGAGGTGAACGTAAGCAATGTCGAGGAGGAATATCTTCAGGTGTGATCGAACAAAGGGGAAGGAGGGGGCAAGGTAGAGGGATTGATGGAGAAAATTCCAGGGTATAATGGATGAAAGAGGCCAATGATAGAGCAGAGGGGAGGGGGACAAGCAGGAGGCTAGAGCCAGAGGTGGCGGGTGATGCAGTGGGAGTAAGCAAGTCGAGGAGGTAAGGAGGGGCCAGTGAGAAGATCGAGTGTGAGAATGAGTGTGAAGATCGTGAATTCTGCTTGTTGTATGGTAGGGAGCCTGTTAACATAATTATCTTACAGCCTGGTAAATGCACTGTAGTCCTTTTTTTAAAAAAAAGTAATGAATGTACAAGTGGCAATTCCTTTCTTCACATGGGATTTACGGAGCTTTGCCTGCAATTGCAGACTGTACAACATGAAACTGGCCATTCGACCCAATTAGTCCGTTGCTCGTGTTCATACTCCACATGAGCTTTCACCCCTCTATCCCCTACTTTCTCATAGAAGCAGCTTGGATACCCCCAGTAGTCTAAATAGATTCCTTTGTCATTTTAGTGAGTTTCTTACTGTTGCTGCCTGGTCTGAACCGACGTGGGATAATCAGCAAATACCTGGGAATGGCCAAGAGGGAAATCAACAAGCTACTCAAGCAAAAGGAGAAGAAGAATGAGTAATGAAGACTGGAATTGACGGGAGTTCAAAATGTTTCATTGCTGATTTCTTTTAACACGAGGAGCTGTCAATTTTCTTCCTGAATTAACAAAAATATAAAGCTCTTCTGTATGTTCTCTGCTACAATGTATGTTTGAGTGTGAGTGTGTGTGGAGGGGTGTATATATAGTAATGAACCTGATGTTACAAGAAACTAATTAGGTTTTGCTTCTCATCACTTTAAGGCTAGTAACGTTTTTAGATCAGGAATTGCTACTTAGTTTAGAATTTTATTCTCGATTGATCTCTCATGACTGATTCTTTGTGTTTGGTGTTTTTTTAAATAAAAACTCCATGAATGCACTAGAAGTTTAATTATAAAGTATTCTTTGTTACATGGTGTTGTTGAACTGCCTGATGTCTGTGCAATCACTTGCATCGCAGATTCTTGCTGGAGAATTGTCCACACGTTAGAGGCAAAATGCATTTGTGGTGTTATCTACTGTCAGGATCTGAGTCTGGCTATCTGATATGACTACTGTATGTAATTGTATGAGTTAATACACATGTAAATAGGATTGTCTTTTACTCTGTATAAATGTTTTTGTGTATATTTGTGGTGAAACATTTAGTTGTGTTCTAAAACTGTACTCTCTTATAGCTTCTCATAAAATAAAATCAATAAAACGCCAAACTGCAGAGGTGTGGTTGTTACGCTGATAGTTAATCTGTGCTTCCTAGCTCATTGGATGTTTCTCTAATCTGCAACTCCTTCATTTATTGCTGCTCTTCGGCTAAGGTGTGTGTCTATATAACGCTGCATCTGTTGAAGTTTGTGTGCTGACAAATTACTTTCAGTGTTTCAATTCTTGTCTTGCCAAGTGCTACCGTTTAAAATATTGAAAGTCTTGCTTGAGGAAACATTCTCTTGAAATATTTGCAAGATAAATGTTTCAGGAGAATTAAGAATCCTTGCACTGTGGATTTGGACTGCCACGTTCAGTCCTCATTGATAGTATTACACAACAGGCTAAATCATTGGCAGAAATATGCTGTAGTTTGCGCTCTGTAGAGCTTCCAGTCATTACTATCTACTTATAATAATAATTCTTGCATTTGATATAGTGCTTTTCACGTCTCCCAGGCGTCTCAAAGAATATGCTGTAAAGTGAATTGACTATATTTTGTGGGCGAAACGCGGTAATCAAGTGCGCACGGCAGTGTTCCACAGTCGTGGATTGAGTGACCAAATTATTATTTTTTTTTCTTGAGGGATTATTATCAGGCGTGTGGAGTAAGGAAACTTGCCCAAGGTTCTGCCCTGCCGGGAATCAAACCCAGATCTCTCACTTGCGAGGCGAGTTCTCCAACCACTGAGCTACAGGACTCCGCAGTTCAGGTGCTGATCCGTGCAGAGCAGCAAGATCAATGTTCGGGGGATTGTCAACATCTCAGCTGATGTGTCCTCAGCAGATGTGGCAAATGATCAGCTTTGCCTGTTTTATATTCCCTTGATGATCAAATGTACATAATGGAGATTTCTGCAAAATACTGGTGGGCTTGCTGCCAACTGTGGAGTTGCATGCTCTAATGATCTTTTAAGAGTTGAAGGGTAATCCACCTGGTATTAATTATTGTATAATGGTGCAAGCTTGAGCATAACTGCAATGTCCACTCAGTATGTTCCAAAAGTGTAAATAATTGCTCTGTAACAATTGCACTGAAACAGAATCTCCAGCACTAAAGGTAATTTCCGATTAGAGGATACTCGTCTCTTCAGTTAATATAAAAAGCTGCAAAATACTTTTTTAAAATGTTTAAAGTGATAGTCGTGCATGAGTTTGCTCGCTACTCAATAGCTGCATAACCTTCCCTTATGTGTCACATCTACCAGTTTTCCACCATTAGACTTCACATTTGAGGTTTTATTCATTTACACTGGAGCTCGTTATAATCGGTGAAGACAGAAGGCTCACAAACATACAGCCGTGCTTTTGACCTTGCATGTAATCAAACTGCAAACAAATCAAGAAACACTTGTTCTCAACACGGATATTAATTGTTACCTAAAATTTCATAGTGTTAGACAGTTTTGAGAAAACAAAATGTGATTGCTCTCGCATTCATTGAAGAAACAGTCGATCATAAAAGCATCCGCGTTGTGTTGTGTTGCGGTGAATCCAGTCTCCTGATCTTCTCTTGAAGCTTGTTGATGGCACATCTGTTGCATCCTCACCTGGGGATAGTGATGAGAATTGATCTAATTATCCAGTTCAATGTTCCACAGGTCCTTAAGCAGACATGGTTTATTACTAACACAAGAGCAAGAAGGAATTCACCATCACTATTAAATTATAGCACAATGTGAGTTGCTACCTGTTTATTTTGGATTTTGAACTTTTAAAATACCCACAGTTGTTTGAAGTAAGGTTACAATTCCCACGGACAGAATAAAAATGCTGTTCTCAAGCTCAATGGCACCATGAAAGCACAATAAGTCTGTGCCGGTGTTTATACTCTGTAGGAGCCTTCATTTCCTGCTAATCTCTCCCAAACCCTTCTATTCCCTTCTCTCTCTGCAACACTACCACTCTGCATTAGAAAACAATCCAAAGCCAATAAGCAGAAGAGAATTTTTTTTTACCAGTAATGATATTGTAATTGTGTCGCTTCGGGAAAAATTCAGAAATGGTCGCACTGGGTGGCTGTTCTTCTCTGATATTATGCATAGCAGTGTATGATGAGATCCACAATTTCATGTTGTTTTCTGGTGGATTGGTTATTTCTTTCATTGCTGTTCCGCGAATATTATGTACCCGGTTTTCAACACCTATTTGGTGCAAAATGTTGTGCTTTCAGAAAGAAAACGGATAAAAAGTTAAAACAAATAAGTTGACAATTCTTCCACATCATAAGAGATTAACATTGTCAATAGCAAGACTACAGTATGCATTTGTATAATTAAAGTGCAATTCACTGCAAAAGCAAACTATTTTAAATGTGGAACCGCGCAATATGCATCTATTTAAAACATCATTATCTCTACTAATAAATGTTCCAGAACATACTGGTATGATATCCTTCTCGTAATAGGAGTCTTTAGTGAGTGTAGATATGTGCACTTCTTCATCCACATTTAAATCCATATTTATATTGTTACGAGGCAGATAGGGCGTAACTTTATTGAAGCGTTCAACACGTTTACCATCCCAGTCTTTACCAGCATACGACTAGAGAAACAGGAACAAAACAAGTTATTATTATTATTGCGCTGATGCCCTAGTCAACAACAATTTACGCTGAAGTGCTCTCTTGAAAGGAGAATATCTCAACATGCATTACACGTCCTTTACTCTCTTCTATCGCAGTGGGAATCTGAGATGGGAAGGAGAGATGGAGAAGTAATGCAGGACTCTCCCTCAGGGGATGCAGTAAATGTACTGTAGTGTCTCAGAGCGCTTAACAGTGGCGGAGCCTGAATCCGAGCTGGGGAGGTGGTCATAAGCACGGCTGAAGAGGAAGGTTTTCAGGCGGGACTTGAAAAACGAGAGAGGGGGCAAGGCGGAGGGCTTGAGGGAGAGTGTTCCAGAGTTTCAGGGCATAAGTGGCTGAAAGCACGACCTCCGAAGGCGAGGTAGAGGATGCGAGGGACGAGCAGGAGGCCAATGCCAGTCGAGCGGAGGGGCCGGGTAGTGGATTGGGGAGTGATGAGGTCGGAGAGGTATGGAGGTGCCAGAGACTAAAGAGATTTCAACACGGGTGTGAGGATCTTGAAGTTGATCCATTTGCTGATGGGGAGCCAGAACTGATGAGATGTGGGTACGGAGTTTGGTCCAGGTAGGTATGCGGTAAGTATGGTCTGTGGAAGGGGTGGGGTAAAAAGCCTCTGCTCCATGATTTCCTTATTTTAAACACAAAACGTTGCACAATAAACCATCATATAATGTTTATCATATATTGCAGGATAGAAATAAGCAAATTAGCTCATCAAAACTGTTCTGAATTTGTTGAAGATTGTTTCATTTATAGCCAAAACCTAACTAAGTCTCCATCTATTACGTGATCAATATTTATAGTAACTTGATAAAACAATTATGAAGATCTTACTTCACTATAACTGGTTGAATAATCTGCTTCAAAAGGTGTACTTTGCAGTATCAGTGCAGTTTTCCTCACAGATCTTCCTTTAAGAGAATTGGCTGTTTGTTCCTGAGCAACACAGCATTTTTCAGAAGACATTTCCTGAAGCCCAGGTTTCTCCTCTCTCTGGTGAGTTTGAATACTGTTCGTTGCGTTGTCCTGGCCATAGTCAGTTATCACTTCTGCCTTTTCTTGATTTGCCATCAGGTAAAGTGAGCACTGAAACGACAACATAAAAATGCAACTTAATTGTTTCCTATATAATTTTCCCTCACTTCCTTATAAAGGCCGAAACTTTCAGGGTATCAATTAAACTGTATTTTTAAAGACAGTTTATATTTACCAAAAACACTTTTATTTCATTCGAATTTCATACAAATTTCATACAAGCTCATTTTAAATTTATTTCCAGATCATCATACTTTTTCTTCGCTTGATTCAATAATTTAGGTCCCTATGTGCGGTTTATTGCTGGTGCTATGTATAACATATACGGTTATGTTGTCCCTTTTATGTCAGAAAATAATTAAACAGCTGACTGAGCCTGACCGGGGGAGCGGCAGTGGGTGAGTGTAACACTGGGCACAGTACAATATTCTGTGTATCATAACACTGCATAATAATAACAATCCTTGCATTTGATATAGCGCTTTTCACATCTTCTCAACGTCTCAAAGCGCTTCGCGGAATAGACTGTAAAGTGAATTGACTGTATATTTGTGGGCGAACGCGGCAGCCAATTGCGCACAGCAATGTCCCACAGACAGTCGTGGATTGAAAATGACCAATTTATTATTGTTTTTTTTGAGGGATTATCATTAGGCTCTGTGTGGAGTAAGGAAACTTGCCCAAGGTTTCGCCCTCTGCCTGACCCGCCGGGAATACATAGCGCCTTATGTACAACTTATACATATATCAATAGATTGTGTACAGCACAACACCATAACACTCTCACACTAAACATGTAATGGCAATGTATATTGTGGGACACAGTGCTGTGCATAATATATCAGTATATCACACGATATACGGTGGTGTACAATATAACAATATATATTACACCGCAGAGCTCTGTGTGTAACACCGTATAACATGTACCAGACGATATGCAACGCTATGTCGCGGTGTGTACATGTCGCGGTGTGTACATGTGTGTATGTGTGCATGTCGCGGTGTGCACATGTGTGTGTGTGTGTGTGTACATGTGTGTGTGTACATGTCGCGGTGTGTACATGTGTGTGTGTGTACATGTCGCAGTGTGTACATGTGTGTGTGTACATGTGTGTGTGTGTACATGTGTGTGTGTGTACATGTCGCGGTGTGTACATGTGTGTGTGTACATGTCGCGGTGTGTACATGTGTGTGTGTGTACATGTCGCGGTGTGTACATGTGTGTGTGTACATGTCGTGGTGTGTACATGTGTGTGTGTACATGTCGCGGTGTGTGTACATGTGTGTGTGTGTACATGTCGCAGTGTGTACATGTGTGTGTGTACATGTGTGTGTGTGTACATGTGTGTGTGTGTACATGTCGCGGTGTGTACATGTGTGTGTGTACATGTCGCGGTGTGTGTACATGTGTGTGTGTGTACATGTCGCGGTGTGTGTACATGTGTGTGTGTGTACATGTCGCGGTGTGTACATGTGTGTGTGTGTACATGTCGCGGTGTGTACATGTGTGTGTGTGTACATGTCGCGGTGTGTACATGTGTGTGTGTGTACATGTCGCGGTGTGTACGTGTGTGTGTACATGTCGCGGTGTGTACATGTGTGTGTGTGTACATGTCGCGGTGTGTACATGTGTGGGTGTACATGTCGCGGTGTGTACATGTGTGTGTGTACATGTCGCGGTGTGTACATGTGTGTGTGTACATGTCGCGGTGTGTACATGTGTGTGTGTACATGTCGCGGTGTGTACATGTGTGTGTGTACATGTCGCGGTGTGTACATGTGTGTGTGTACATGTCGCGGTGTGTGTATCACCGCCGGGAGAAGCTCTCGGGCCGGCGGGAGGGAGGGGGGGAGAGTCGCCTCGCAACGCACCCGATGCCGGAGGCCGTTGCCATGGCCACAGAGTGTCAGTCAGTCCCGGTGTCAGTCAGTCAGGAGCCGCGCGGTGCGCGGCGGCGCATTGTTACGGGTTCGCGCGTATATATATTCCCGAGTGAGAGAGTGAGAGACACAGAGAGAGAGAGAGGTCACAGACTAAATACCAACAGCGGCCGTGAAGAGGAGGTGTTCGGGCGGTGACAGAGTGGGGGAGGAAGAGGGGGGGAGTGACGTCAGTGGGTCATGACCCCCTCCTCTCGGCCTCAAATCTCGCGGTGAGGAGCGCGGCTGAACGTCCTCTCGCGAGACTCCGGCTTCCCGCCATGCGCCGCGGCGCGCCCCCCCCCCCCCCCTCTCCCTCTCTCTCTTCCGCCATATTGGTGAACAGGTAGGGGCTCCGCGAGGCTCGGCGCCATCCGTCGGATATCGGCGCCATCGCCGGCCCGCGGGCCGCCTCTGCCGGCTCGGCCGCCGGCTCGGGTTCCGGCGGCCCGCGGGGCGGGGGCCTGGGCCGGCGGCGCCAGCGTTTTCCGCCGAAAATACGGCGTTACGAACCGTGCCCCCCCCCCCTCACACACACACACACACACACCATTCCCCCTCCTCCCCCCCAACCGCTCACCCGCGCGCGGCGGCCGTCATGTGGGTTGAAAGTTACGGGTAAAGGCTAAGGCCGTGAGAGAGAGAGAGGGGGGAGAGGAGGGAGAGGGAGAGGTGTTGCTCTCGTCCCAAACCTCTTGGCACCAAATGTCTTGTACCGGGAGAGGAAACGCTCAACTCACACGCGCGCTCTCTCTCTCTCTCTCTCGCGCGCGCTGCCGCCGCCGCCGCTTTTAAGTAGGAAAAGTTTTTTGGACGCGAAGGCCTTAAGGGACGCCGAGTGAGTTTGGGGCTGAGGAGTGACGGTTGATGTGTGGGAGGGGGGGGGATGGGAGGGCAATGGGTGGGGGGGGGGGGTGGGATGTGTGGGGTGGGGGGGATGGGAGGGCAATGGGTGGGGGGGGGGGGGATAGGAGTGGGGGGGATGGGAGGGCAATGGGTGGGGGGGGATGGGATGTGTGGGGTGGGGGGGATGGGAGGGCAATGGGTGGGGGGGGGGATAGGAGGTGGGGGGGATGGGAGGGCAATGGGTGGGGTGGGGGGGTGGGATGTGTGGGGGGGGGGATGGGAGGGCAATGGGTGGGGTGGGGGGGGGATAGGAGGTGGGGGGGGATGGGAGGGCAATGGGTGGGGGGGGATAGGAGGTGGGGGGGGGGGGATGGAGGGCAATGGGTGGGTGGGGGGGGATGGGAGGTGGGGGGGGGGGAATGTGTGGGGTGGGGGGAGGTGTGGAGGGGGGGGGTTGTCCACACAATGCCTTATCCTCTCCGGCTTCGTACCTCAAATCTGCTGCTCTCTCTGTGTGACGGTCAAAACCCCCACAGGTCTCAGGGAGGGGAGGGCGGTGGTAAAGAGATGCACATTATAGTGGCAGCCGACCCACAGAGTTTTGAGTGGTGGCAGCTGAAATCGTGGCGAGTTGGGTGTCATTGAGCGGTGGTCCTGACGTGTAAAGAGAGCGGCTTTTCTCCTCTGCCCCCTTCCAGGCATCATGGTGCAGATGAACGTTCTCGCCAGTGCCCTCCGGAGCATCAATAACGCAGAGAAACGTGGAAAACGCCAGGTTCTCATTCGGCCGTGCTCCAAAGTGATCGTGAGGTTCCTGACTGTGATGATGAAGCACGGTAATGTGCTCTTGTTAACTCATCGGTTGCGCGGCGCGGTCAGTTGGACCCGTGTGGCCGTAACACGGGCCCCGTTGCGAATGATCTTGTGGGGTTTCGAAAAGCCAAAGGTTGCGCGGGCGTCGTTCGAACCTTCAAAAGCATTCCCTCGTCCTGTAACGGAGCTTCTCGGTTCGGACGCTTATTAAAACGGTAACGACAAACGGTGAGGAAGTGAAAATTCAGCCCAAATTTGATTGCTGCCTATGCACTGCACATCCAGTAAAAGGTCACGGTTAGTTTTAAAGATTTTTCTGAGCTAATGTCAATCTGACGTTTGGCTGTATTATTAAGTTTTGAGTTAGATGGGGTTGCCCAATAAAACAACAACTTACACTTCCACAGTGTCCTTCAAGTTGAGAAGACGTCCCAGGGCGCTGGACAGTCTGGGGTTTTTCAACCCGAGTGGGGGTGGGAGGGTGCCACAGGCACTATTGAAGAGGAAGGCCTTCAGATGGGACTTGAAGGATGCACAAGTGGGGGTGAAGTGGAGGGGTTGCGGAATAGAGTTCCAGAGTGTGGGGACAGAGATCCTGAATGCCCAATAGTGGGGGGACCTGAAACAGGCGTTCGGTATCCGCTGGGCGGAAAACAACAAATTACATTTGTAAAGCGCCTTTTGTGTCAGGAGGACAGGCTGATATGGAGTTAGGAGGTTGGACAGTTAGTGGAGAGCAATATATTACATAATCCAATGTTTTTTTAAAAAAAAATATTTTACATGGTGGCCCACAAATTAATGGCTTTTACTTTCTTTTGCAGGTTACATTGGTGAGTTTGAGATTATTGATGATCACAGAAGTGGAAAGATTGTCGTTAATCTCACTGGCAGACTGAACAAGGTAATGTATAGAAGTTCTCACTTAATGCCATTCATGCCATTGTATGAATCTGAGCTGCATCATTGTATTATTATCAAATTAAAGTGTAAATCTGATTTTCTTTAGTGTGGTCATATTTTGGAACTTTGAATGTTCCTTGGTCACTGAATTGTGAAATTGTGCTTTTAAGATCTTGTGCCTTTTCTCTAAAAAAAATTATTCTCTTCCTGCCCCCTAAGAATTTGCTAACCAGTATCTGACATTGTCTGTGACTACTTTGCAATTACTTTGGCAACTGCTGAAACCTTGAATACCTCTCTTGCCTTTCCTTGCTAAAAACTGGTCCATCCCTAATGTTAATTCATATACAGGTCAGTCCAGTACTTCACCATGTATAGTGGTGTAGATTATTTGCTTTGTGGAATTTCTAGAGAAAGCTTTGAATCAGTATTTAATTTGGGTTGCTTTCATTTAGGCTAGTATATCTTTTTTTCTGAAACCATTCACGATGAGTATAAAATTCAAGGTGTAGTGTGGCCTGAAGAATGTTGTTAAGTGCAATATATTTTTGAATTGCTTGGAAAAATTATAAGGCCTGATCTGATTTTTTTGGTGTGTTGTGGTCTTAGAATCTGTTGTATGGAGGTGCATCATATACATTGACTTTTTTTCCCATTCTTCCTTAATAGTGTGGTGTCATTAGCCCCAGATTCAATGTTCCACTCACTGGTCTAGAAAAGTGGCAAACTAATCTCCTGCCTTCCCGTCAGTTTGGGTAAGTTTATTGTGTGAACTTGAATATTAAAACGTGAAAAGGGGCCTTCCTTAATCGGTGGAGAATATTATTGCTATGAAAGTGTGACTTGTATTTTGGTTTACACACAGTTTCGCCCACAAAACATTCATTCAATTCACTTTACAGTATATTCTGTGAAGCACTTTGATACATGTTGAAGACATGATAAGATGCTATATCAAATGCAACGATTATTATCATATGTTCTACGATAGAATGTACATGTTCTGAAGCTGTTTCTCAAGTGAAAGCTTTAATGATTCCCTAATTCTAAGATTTCTTTATTAAACTGCTTTTGTTTATCAATGCTTGTAAATGTTAGAAATCAATTACTATAAGCTATTCAGTGTTTGTTTTTAAAGGATTAAGATCATTCTTTTATTATTTTAACAGGATTAAACTAGTGGCAATGTTGTATGAGTGTATGTATATAGCTTCCCTATTATTGCTGATCAGTCAGTTCTTTAGTGTTGCAAATGTGTCAAGTTTCCCCCTTAAAGAAATGTAGAACTGGTAGTTACTAATTACATGACTTCAGCATATGAAATAACTCTCCTGTCTTTCAACATTGTTGCATGGCAAAATAAAATCTAAATAGTTGAGGTGGTTTGCACTAATTATGAGGGAGTGTCTTCTATGTAAAATTCTGTGGTTTCGGAGAGGATCTGCTGGTGGGGTTTAGCCATAATGCTGATAATGGATACTGAGGCCCAAATGAGCTGTTTCAGCTTAAAGCACTCAGGCAATATTGTATTTCAAATAGCTCGTAGTACAGAATTTTGTTGCCCGTTTCCTGAAGGGACTTCCTTCGTTGGCCCTGGCTCGGCACAAAATTCTGCCAGCACTCAGACACTTCCTTGGTGAGGGGTGCCATATAAATGCAGGTTGTAATGATATTAATGACTGAAAATGTGAAAGCAGGAAAGCTAACATTCAAAGTAAGATATGAACCTAATTTAAAAGAAACATTTAGAGAATTATAATAACTACTTCGTTAGACAAAATTGAGTAGGAATATCTGCTCAGGTGCAAATTGGCTGCCAGCTTGCCATACACAACGCACTCACTATATTTTACCGTCTAACCCGTGAAGAGCTTTGAGATATTTTGCTGGTGTGACCCAGTGCTATATCAAGTGCAACAATTATCAGCTGTGAATGTGGGTATGTTGCTGATATCTAAATATTGGTGGTCAGTTGTAATATTGTAACCTTGTGAGGATAGTTCATGGTAAATTATTTGATTTACTTATATATTTCAAAGTCACGGAACATTAATCTGAAAGGTTTATGCACAGTTCTAAAGCATTAGCGGTATTCTGCACAAGCTAACCAAAATCTGTTAAATTTCGAGTTGAAATTTCTACTTGTAACTAGTAGTCTTGGGGGGGAAAAATAGTGCCTGAAAAGTTAGGGTAGTTATTTGTGAAAGACTTGTAAAGAGTCTGAACTAAACTGTTGGCCTTGATAGTCTCAAAATGTGGACTGCTCTTAAAATTCAGTGAACTTTTCAAAAGCCATGTTTTCCTTCAGTTAAATGTCAATGCTATATATAAATTCGTTACTTGGGATCAAGAAAAATCGGCTTGTAATAATTTAATTCTTTCTGTATTTGTTTTGGGAAAAAAACACACAATGTCTGAAGCATTGTTTGATTTGTCTCCATGAGCCAGAAACAGGCTGGCTACATAATAATTATAATAATAATCCTTAACTTTGATATAGTGCTTTATCAAGTTTTTGAGATGTCTCATGATGGCAAATTGCTCATGACCTGAAATTTATTTTCTAACCTAATTATTAACAAAACTGTTTTTGATTCATGGCTGTCTGAGAGATTTATAAGACAGTTTGTCAACGCTAAAAATAGCCTTTTTATTCAATTATTAAAAGAGGTGACATCAGCCACCTCTTATTTCTTGCTTCTGTCAAATTTATGCGTCATGTTAATCACTTCTTTCCTCCTCTGCCCCTCAACACACTGACTGTTAACAGGTAGCGATGATGTAAACCTTGTCCTTGATGTTTTCAATGTTTTTCACTGCTTTCCAGGTTCATCGTTATTACCACTTCAGCTGGCATCATGGACCACGAAGAAGCCAAGCGAAAACACACAGGGGGGAAAATGCTTGGATTCTTTTTCTAAATGTATGAAAAACGGCTGTAATAAAAGATTTCAAACTATATTCTGTGTCTTAATTGGTGTCCCAATAGCCAGTTTGTTTTTTCCACTCTGAAGAAGTGGGGGAAATGACTCAAAACGGCATTTGGCTATGTAAATGGTGAATTAATGCCCTGGATCTAGCTATTCACAAGAAATCTTGTAACTGAAATGTGCACATTTTTATGCAGGGACTACATTTTCATATGGTCACCCATTATTTTTTTCTTGTAAAACCAGCTCTGGTGGTCGACTGAAAGCGGACCAGAGCCCTCCTTCCTTGCAGCAAATTTTCGTGTTTCCTATGCGGTTTAGCTGGTTAGACTCCAGCAGTACCTCAACGCACACTTTGGGGTCCCCAAGCCTTGGCTCTTGACAACCTGCACCTAATGCTTTCTGAAATTAGGTAATTGGGGGGTGTTCCACCAGGGACAAAGTGCATTCCATTCCAATAAATATCTGGAATTTCCATGTATAGGTGAGATAGGGTCGCAGAGCCTGGTGCGGGAGAGGACCTGCAGAATTCTGGATGATCTGTAACCTGGAGAGGAGTTGGGGAGGCCGACAAGGAAGGAGTTTGCATCGTCAAGCCTGGATGTTATGAATGTGTGTATGATGGTTTCGGTATGCAGTATGAGACAGTGGTGGAGCCGGGCGATGTTGTAGATGCGGGGGAAGGCAGAGCGGGTCCTGGTACGGACAGTTGAGGGCCAAGCCAGATGCCGAGGTCCCAGACTGGCTTAGTAAGGTGGAGTGTGCATTCACTCCACCTTACGCCCAACTGAACAAATAAAATTTAGTTTGCTTCCGGCATAATGCATTCTCGTTCGCAAAAAGTTTTTCCCTAATTAATTGCCATAGAAAATTCTATTTTTTTTAAAAAAAAAGCATTGTAAGGTAAACAAATCATGTAGGGTCCTCACAAAACAATCGTATTTTACAGGTTCCTGGTTGGAGACCAGCAACTGGTTATCAAAGACTCACAGAGATCTCTTACTCTTCTGCCAATGTTAATTGAATGTGAGAGAGATCCACGGGGAAAGGAATGAACATGTTCCACTTTAATCCTGTCACTGGTTGAAGGGAGAAATTAGGACAAGGTAAGGTGCAGGAGATGATATGTACCACTAGATGATGCTGTAAAATCATTCTGTAAAAATGCAGTTGTGAGCGAAATAATGTTCTGAAATTCACTGTTACGAATATTTTTCTGAGGGAAAAGTGTCAAGTAGAGAAGTGTGTTTTAAAAGTGCACTGTAAATAATAATAATAATCCTTGCATGTGATATAGTGCCTTGTCATGCCTTTGAGACATCTGAAAGCGCTTCACAGAATACACTGTGAAGCGAAATGCTAAAAAGCAATGTAAATTTGCACTCCAAGACACCACCCCGTGTGAAGAGTGCGATATAAATGCAAGTGTTGTTGAATTAGATGCACTGTTTTTGAAGAGATTTTAAAAACTTACAAAAGTACAAACTTATCAAACCACCGATCCATAAAATACACAACAGCGTCATACATACACCTGCACCTGTTGATGAGATTGTAAAAGTTATCACCTCAAGAAAATCAGGATTGACCACAACTGAAAAGAAAAACTATGGAGTGCATGTAAAGTGAACGGGAGAGGATCAGCACTCATGATGGGAATGGGTTCTCAAGGATTGAGTTGCTCAATAATTGTACTTCATGGAACTTATTAGATATCCCCAGGGAGAAGCCCAGCTCCAGTCTTCAACAACAACAACAACAACAAATTACATTTGTGTAGCGCCTTTCACGTCAGGAGGATGTCCCAAGGCGCTGGACAGTCCAGAGTTTCAGACCCGAACTGGGGGTTGGGATCGGGAAGGGTGGAGGCCAGGGAGGGAAGCAGGGTAATCAAAAGCACGGTCGAAGAGGAGGGTCTTGAGATGGGTCTTGAAGGAGGCGAGGGAGGGGGCAAGGCGGAGGGACTACGGGATGGAGTTCCAGAGGGTGAGGGCAGAGTGGCTGAAGGCCCACCCAACAATGCTGAGGCGGGAATGTGAAGCAGGCTGGAGCCGGCAGGATGGTAGGGGGTTAGGGGGTCGCACCCGTGCTTTAAGGGAGCAAAGGTGTTTGGAGTACCATGGTGACTTTCGTGAATAGGAGATGGTTCGGCAAGAGAGGGGAGCAAGGGAATCGAGGGTGGAGGAAAGGGAGGCGTTCGGGGGAGAGGGAAGATAGGAGGGTGGAGATGTCGGGGATGAAGGTGGGGGAGGGCTTAGGGGGGTTGGTAGATAAGGAGAATTTTGAGGGAAAGGTTGGAAGGGTGATAGAGGGTAAGTTGGTCAAAGGAGGGGAAGGTTCCAGAGGAGTAAGAGGATAGGCCGAGCGGGGACCGGGAGGTGAGAGCCACACCGCCACCACAGCGATTAGGTCGAGGGGTATAATGGAAGGTGTAGCTGAGTTGTGACCTGTCGGGGAAGGTGTCGCCTGGAATGATCCAGGTTTCAGTGAGGGCGGGAATGTCAATGTTTTCGTCGACAACGCGGTCGTGGATGGTGAGTGTTTTGTTGGAGAGGGAGCGGATGTTTTTGTAGGCCGATGCGGAGGGGACAGTTGGTGGCGGAACATGGGGGGCGAGGGGGAGGACTGACAGGGAAGGTGGGGATATGGATGAGGGAGAGAGGTTGACCCCCGTGGTCAGGGACCTATGGGCCTCGTGTCGAGAATGGAGGATAGGGAAGTTGGACAGCCAGCAGCGTCTGCCACGGAGGGCCTGATGGAGGATTCGCAGGCTGGAGCAGAGGGAGGCTGTGGGATGGTTGAGCAGGGATAGGAGTCGGGGAGGGCGGTGGGAGAGGAGGACAAGTGGAAGTAATGGAGGGCGGAGGACAGGCGTGGGAGCATTTTGGTCAGTGGCGGCAGCCAAAATGCGCATGCCAAGACTAAGCGAACAGCGGGGGTTGGGAGAGGGAGGTGGTTAGCGAGGCATGGTTAGCCTGCTGGGGTGGATCACTACGGGGAGTGGGGGGAAATGTTATGGTCCCAGTGAGTCCAGGCTGAGAGATTGCACGAAAGAATTCCTCAAAAGAAGTCAATACAGTTACTTGGGGCTGTGACTGTGTAAATGAATTTTCAAAAAACCTTTAGGTGATAATTCCTTTCTGATACACAGCGCGTTGGAGGAAAATGTCCTTTTATTGTTATTCTTTATTCTTTATTTCCATTTAAATTGATTCCAATCGTGAACACTTTTTTTTCTTAATGGGAAAGCGTTATTCTATTGCGGAATTGATCTTCGTTGAGGCAGTAATAATGATTAGCTGTAAGAACCAAATATTTCTCACATTAGAGACTTGAATTATTCTACTTAAGAATTGGCTATTTCATCAGACTGTATTTCTATGTGGTTGCATCTTTATATCAGGATATTTAGTTGCTTGTCGTCTGCAATAACATTCAAAGTTAGGCTTTTAATTGCTCAAAAAGAGAGAAAAAAAATCATACTATCTAAATGAGTAATTCTACGACATTGTTCATGCAGCTTTTAATTATGTGCTATATTCCAGCTGGAGTTTTGCATCATGTGTTTACTGAATATGTAATTTTACAAGTCACTTAGCAATTTCATTTCATTATTTTGCCCCCTTGTGCAGGAATTTAATCTGCAAATGAAAAAAGAAATATCCCTCCCCCCTTGGTATGAACAATTCCCTTTGAACAGATGTTGTTTATCTTGTACATTTGTTTGCCTACTGTGTGTTCATTGATGCGCAATAGAGTTGGGTGGGTGCTTTTCATACATATGAGGCCTTGTATTTGAGATGAGGCAATTTATGATGACTTACCGTGTGTGAAAAATGGAAGTCCAGGGGGTGGGGAGGGAGAGGTAAGGCTACTTTGTGTGTGTTGTTAACAGCATCTTGCAGATTTCGGTATAGGTGCAATGTGATAAAGGTTGTGTGCAAATGGGCTGAAACGAACAATTGTACCAATGATTGAGGTACGAATCAAATAAAGGGAATCAGTGCCTTATGTTCCTATTAGTAAAATAGTGTACTTCAATACAATTCCGTTTTGTTTCCAATGGTTGACAGAATGTGGATGAGTAGCATATTGATGTGTTCAGAGGCAGTGTGCGTCAGTGCCAATGATTTTCTCTCACATTCGTGCGTGGTGCAGGGTGTTAAAGAAACCGGTTTTTCGTGTTGCCGCGTTCCGAATATGCACACTGGGAAATGAATGCGAGTATAAAATTCTTGTTCAGAGAAGATGGTTTCGTTCCCATTATTTCTTGGGATTCACACCCGGTTCTTTCCGCAAGCTGCAGATTATACAGAACTCGTGTTCCCTCCCGCATCAGGTTCTGGGAACCTATCACCCCCGTTCTTGTCCGGCTTCACTGGCTCCCCATTCCTCATAGAATCGAGTACAAAAACCTTCAAGGCCCTTCACGGTCTTGCTCCCGCCTACCTCTCTGACCTCGTAACCCCACATCAGCCTGTCCGTTCCCTCCGCTCGACGGACACCAGCCTGCTTCAGGTCTCCCGCACTTCCCACCCCACTGTTGGCGGTCGGGCATTCAGCATCTCTGCCTCCACCCTCTGGAACTCTATCCCGCAATCCCTCCACCTCACCCCTTGTCTTGCCTCCTTCAAGTCCCATTTTAAGACCTTCCTCTTCAACTGTGATTTTGGGCCACCCTCCTCCCCTTCTGACCCTAACTCCCAGCTCGGATCCGAAACCCCTGATTGTCCAGCGCCCTGGGACGTCCTTCCGACGTGAAAGACACTATACAAGTGTAATTTGTTGTTGTCAGTTTGGGTATATTTTCCTGCAATATGCAAGGTTACATATTTAGTGAACAACTTTGAGAATTCAGACTTGAACCAAGGGTTTGGAAATCAAGACCATCTTGAAAACAATTGACAGGTGGCAAGGTAAGACTGAATCATTTGTGAAGGAGTTATGCCGGAATAAGGCACTGTAAATTGAATAAAAGATTAGAATGAATTATTTGTAGTCAAACAAACATGTTCAGAAAACTGTTTTA